AAAGCAGCTGCCCCCGATAGAGATTCCAGGGAAGTTTCCAGCTGCTCCTCCACCTCGCTGATCTCGATGGCCTCCTCAATGTCCTCCTCGATGCTACTGGTGCTGGTGGTGGTGGCTGTCGTTGTGGTTACCGTGGTGGCCACCACATCGGCGATGCTTGTGGTGGTCGTCGTGGTTGTGGTCTGTTGTTCGGCCATGTCTATGGTCATGGAACTGGTGGGTGGTTCTATGCTAAACGAGGACACCGACTGGTCCTCCTCCGTAAGACTGAGGTTGTTCTGTCTTCTGATTAGCTCGGCGGTGTCTGTGGAGCTCACAGCATAAGGGGTACTGCTCGAAGTGGCTGCCGTCCAGCTGCTCCTCGAGATTATGTACGTGTGCGTGGAATCGTTATCGCCGGAGTCGGACTCGTAATCTTCCGCAGGGCCATTATCATCACCACTGGCAACATGTTGCAATTGCTCCGAGGTTGGCTCACTCGCCGATGCTTTCTTGAACTCAAAGTCTAGAGTCGGTACGAAATCAACTGTGAAACAGGTCTGGTCTACGGATTTCTTTTCCGTGCTCCGGGATGTTGCTGAGCCTCCAGATGTTGCTGCTCCAGATGTTGCTGCCGCAGATGTTGCTGGCAACTCTTCGACTGCCGCCGCTTCGATCGCCTTGAAGCTGACACTGGCGCTGTGCGGGCGGAGCAGCGAAGTGATCTGGAATGTAAATAGTGGAATTTTAATAGCCATTAATGCTACTTTCGGGAATTTTATAAACTTTTGAGATAGTGGGCTTTATGGGATGGCAAAATATCTTATAAAATGGTAGTTTGGAAAGGGAGAACAAAGGAAATATTGATTTTGAAATAAAATTTCCACTAGAAATTATAAGATTAAATAATAATATGTTTCAGGAGAACATTATAAGAATAATGTTCTCCTAAAAAACATTAATTTCTGTTTAAAAAACAAATGAAAACAAAAGAACAAGTTTTGAATTTTGTATTGTGCCCCACTTGTTGTGCCACCGGGCCATCGTGCCACTTGAGTTCCTTGAGTTTGAGGCACACACGCGTCTGCCGCCATAAATTAATTCTCTAGATTTTGATTCGATTTAATGATGTCACCCAGTTGTCAGCCAGTCAGCGCCCGCGACGCATTGTGAGGATTCTTCTGGGCGGATGGCCCACTAAACTTGGGCGAAACCGAAAGGTATTAACAAGCGACTTTATTACGTAAACAGATGCGATCGAAAAGCCGGGGAAAGATAGCGATTTTCAATCCCAAATCGACCTGCATCTCAAGTGCTTCGATATATATTCGAGATTAGGAGATGGAGGAATTCCACCCACAGTCCAGAACTTTGATGGATTGCAGCTGCTTTGGTTGTTGGGTTTCCCTTTAAATTATAATTAGAAACATTTGAGGCATCTTTATGTTTGGTAATAAAGTCCGCTTCGCGGAGGAGTTGCGCATCTGAGAGAATTTCCTGAATTATTTATTTTTAGGCTTGCCCACATTAATTAAGAAAGACACGACTCTGTCCACTTGAGTGATCCATATATCCATCTGAAGGTGTTCGAAACGTGGCCCACACATGCATCCGTTCTCCCGTAAAGGGTGTGGAAATATTTAGGCATTTTCCAATTACATTTCCACAGCTGGAGATCCAATTGGATGCGATGCATCTTTCGAATCATGGGCATGTGTCAGAGCAATGCATTTGACGGTGAAACAATAAACACAAATGAAATGAAAAACTCATTTGAAATACGAGGCGATGCTGCTAATTGCTTTTACATTTCTAGACTATACGATAACCGATACTAATCCCAGTAAATATTTTAGAAGAAACTAATAAATATTTCTATAAAATCATATAATATGAACATCTGCCAGTTATTACCCCAAGTGGGTCAGGTCGTAACGGTTGAAAAAGTTTTCAGTATTTCAGCGAAAAGATATTTTTTTCAAAAGTTTTCCAATCCCCCATGGTTGGATTATTTGAACGTCCTTGAACTTGTCCCATTGAATATGTAAATGGGAGGCGCCAGGCAGGAAGTCCCAGCCCAGAAAAATATCCTCGAACGCATATCGGGATAACAAGTCGAGCCATCATAGTCATGGCAACGGGCTTTTCTTCGAGTGTGCGTGCGAAATCGAAAGTTTTTCCAGCTCCTTGTCCAAAATACAAGGAAAATCCAACAACAATTTCAATTTGTTGCTATAGTTGGGACCGCCGATGGGGCCGTTGTTTGGGTGTGACACACATTTGAAGCGGATCGTCGTCTGAGGTTTTTGCACTTCGCCAGCCAACTAATAACAAACAACAACACTCCCCAGATAGCCGAAAGGATGAAAAGGGCGCAGGACCTAGCCCAATGTCTAAATTAATGGTGATAGGTTGTTCGCTTTTGATTTTCCATCAGATATTCCCTAAAAGACCTTCAATAAAGGCACGCATATTGGCTAAAATGATTAGATTAATGGCCTTTCGAGGTGAAAAGTTGACAATAAAATATGCGAAGAAATTGAAAGAACAACGTAGTAAAAATTACATGATTTTTTAAAAGTAAATTTTATTTAAATATTAAGCCTACACAGTAGAAATAACCTGAGCTCTTGCTTCAAGAAATTTTTGTAGAAAAGCACTTTTGAACCCCAACCCCTAGAATTTTCTCTAATTATCAAGTAAACTAAAATTTAATTAACACTGAAGGTGTCAACTATTTAAAATGCCACTTCGAGATGTCAAAGATCACATTTCCGAGATCTTTATGTAAACTCACATGCAATTTCCCCATTTCGATGGATGCACTCGCTCCTCCACATTCGATTCAATTCCACGATGAAGTTATCTCAATTAAATGCAATTTACAGTCACTTAAAAAACAGTCCATATATTTACTAGCCTATTATGTGTCACATTGTGCAAATTTTGCCAACACAAATGTAAATTTTTGTTAAGAAAAAAAAAATAAGACTCTTTAGAGGCACATGAACTGCACTTTTATCTCGGGGAGCTGTAAAAAATTAGTGGGGAGCCGGAACGAGGAGCTGCGCGACCGCCTGCAGTGCAAGTTCTTTTATAAATAAAACGACCGAAGAGGCATTCAATTGAAATCAGTCACTCAATCCGAGGAAAATCAAAAGAAAAGCGATGGAAAAGAGCGCCAGCGGAGAGCCAGAGAAATTTGCAACCGCGCGCGGTTCCAAGCGGTTCCGTGCACCGAACGTGCGCTCCCATTTTTTATTTATAAACAAAATTTATATGTGGAACATAAACGATGCGGGTTTGCTGTGATACCCTGGTTTATAGGGTATTATAGGTTTATCAAAGGGCAGGTATCAGCTTATGTAATAGGTATAGTGTTAATGATAATCTTAAGAGTGCATATAGGAGTGCATCCTATTTTAAAATGCTAAGTTTCCACCCTGTATTGATTTTAGTTCATAGTTCATGGTAAACAGAAATCCTAGTCAGACTAGCATATTATTAAAAAAAAAAATTATAATTTCTTTATTAAAATTATAGGGTATTTAAGGTTCAGATACATCGGACATTAGTTTTCCTATCTGCCTGGGTGTGCAGGCAACATTTGTTGCCGGAATGTTGATGAAGCAATGTTGATAAGGGCCAAAAATTCCTATACAGGTGATAGTGCATAAAGGGCATACAGTTATATTTAAAATAAACAAAATAAGTTCGGGTTAAGATAGGAAGAAAACAAATTTAGGTTATTTGGGGCTATTCGAATTATTATACTATTTTTTTCAATTTTAAATAATATAATAAAAGCCTTGATTTTATAAATTGTTGTAAGGCCTTCTCGTATCAAATCTGATGTACGTTTTCAGAAAACGTTGACTTGAAAATCGTTAAAAAATCTTCACAATTGGTCATTGTTTTTATAAAATTATAACTTATAAAATATTGTTTTTAGGCAACCTCCACTGTAGTTCGTTGAAACTATTCCCAAAGGGCCTTGTGGCCATCTAATCGAAAGTTCAAAGGCGCATTCAATTTCGATTTCATTTGTAAACAAACTCGAACACACTCCGCTTGTGGATTGGATTCCATTGGATACGCCGCTGTATGCCGTATCTTGTGGATCGTATTGGAAGCGTTCCCGAGACGCAGTGACAAATGTTTCGGGCAAAATGGGTTAATACTTTAATGAAATGCGGCGCTTAGTGGGCTTACCCAATCGTATATGGTGTACAGATTCATGGCGGCCTGCACTTGGGCCAAATAATTTATGGCCAAATATTCCTATGGTTGTTGGCCGCCTTTTGCTTTTGTTGTTGACACCACTTGTGCCTGTCAGTTGGGCATATTCCCATTTATTCTAGAGGCGGCCCGAACGTGATCCATTTTCTTGTTGATGTTTACGTTGGGATTTTGGTGACACGATTATATTTTCGAACTTGATTTACAAAACACTCAACAACGGATAATTTTGTAGGTTATGTTGGAAACTTTACGTAAAATTTCAGAAATGTTCCGATTCGAAAACAAAGACAACACGACGGGGGATAACTAGCTACTACAACTGTTGCACTTAATTGAGCATTATAAACATTTTTTGAATACTCCCTTTAGGAGATATATATTTTTAAAATTAAAAAAAAACTAAACCAATAGTGCAACCGATCGGGACAGTTGCACGTAATCGCGAGCGCAATGCAACTGAGGAGCATATCCATCGAGAAGAGTCTTTTATTTTTGGGTTTTTGGGGGAGAAGCCGAAAGAGTCGAGTTCCCCCTTTCCGGCCCCCAGAATACTGTAACGCTCAGTGAAGCACAACACGAGATTGTTTAAAAATAATCAATCGTAAACAAAAAACTGTGGCAGGGGCAGCCAGCCAGCAGCAGAGGGAGAGACGACTCCAAACTGAGCATATGGAGAGATATACATACATATAGGTTTTATCATCAGTTCTATTAATAAACTTATAAGCCTAGTTCTAAGAAGACTAAGATTTACTCCGATTTTGTTACAAAATTAATATTTATTTGTAGTTGTTATTGCTTGTCAATAATTAGTCTCCACTCGCATACAAAAGTATCTGTATAATTGTATAAAAATATCCTTAGATTAGTGTAAATATCATAGCTTATACACTCTGTAACAATTGCTAGTCAGTTTTGTGGCTTGTCTATGGTTAGTTATTTTATGTAAATGCTTTAGATTTATAAAGTATTTCCATACTTTGTAGGCATCCTGCCATAAGGCGATTTTGTATTCCCGTTTTGGAATAGTATTGTCCTGATTCGTTCTTCCATTAAATTATAAAATTAATTATAAAAGTTAAAAAGTTTCAATGTACAAATGGTCAAAAGTCATACAAATTTTGGCAATATTTTCAATGAGCATTTCTGTGTCAAAAATTTAGTTAAATCTTAAGTCTCTAATTCGTTAAAAGATATTTGTAAAGTTTTTGTTTTGTAGCTTCTACAAAGTCTTGTAGTCTACAAAGATATTTTAGTTAATCACATGAAACGGTTGAAGGTTTGTTAGTTCCCGCGCCGCCTTATAGGTCAGTTGGGGTTGCCGCCCTCCTTCTGCTTGAACTTGGTGGAATACTTGTAGAAGTCGGACATCTCGAAGGGCTTGGTCACCTCCTTGTACGGCTGGAAGGTGGCCTGCTGCACCACGGTCATGTTCTTCGGCGACTCGATGCGAATATCTGGCGATAAGCTGGCGGTGGCCACAGTCAGAGGTGGCGACACCAGAGCAATTTGCACGGCATTAGCCCCATGCGACATCCCACCTCCTATCTGGCTCAGATTCAGGTTTGAACTCTGGTTCTGGCTCTGAGTTGCGGGCGGAGGTCTGGGCGGCGGCGTCGGCTGTTGCATCTGACTCGGTTTCGGTGGTAGGTTCCTAAATGGTGGTATGTCCAGGGGTTCCAGTGGATATGACGCCGATATGCCCATCGTCTGCTCCATGGCATTCAGATAAGAGGTGGACTGGCTCAGTACGGCTTTGGAACTTGTGTTCACCGCGTAACTGGCACTGGGATAGTTCTGGGCAGAGCGCTGATTGGACATGGAGTAGTGCCTGCCGGACACCGACATGGATTGGGAGGAGAGCTTGGCCCTGGGTTTGCCGGAGGCCATGGCACCTGCCTGGTTGCCGCTACTGCTGTTGCTGCCAGCTGGACTGTGCGGCTGGGAGTCCATTTGCCTTATCACCGCCGGCCCATCCAACGAGGACTCCAGCCACTGCTTGGGCTTGGCCTTCTTCTCGATGGTGGTGGAGGAGGAGGACAGAGAGATCTCATCATGAGGGGCATAGCGACTGGCAGCCAGCATATCGCTGGAGTGTGACTTGGCATCTATGATTCCCAGCTGCGGAGGCGTGAGGGGGGCTATGTGGGATTGGGAGCGCCAGCGGTACTGCTGTTGGGCAGCTTCCATGTCCACAGAAACGTAGCTGGGGGCCAGGGATATAGCATCAAGTTGCCTTTGATGATGCATGGGGTTCCTCTGCTGCTGTTCGTAGCTGAGATTGCTGGGCGAAGCCAGCGGCGAGACATACTTCTTGATATTCTGACTGGATGTAATGAACCCGCCCTCGTTGTAGCTCTGATGCGTGGGCGATAGATAGTATTTGTCGCACTGGACCGTGATCAGCTGCTGTTGGGGGGCCACTTGTGGCGGTTGCCGCAGGGTGGCCACGTTGGAGGAGTTTGCCGAGTACATGGATATTACATCCGGCTGCGATCTCTGGTAGTTCATGTTCATCATGAGATGAGACTGCTGCTGCTGCTGCTGGTGTTGCTGGTGTTGCTGGCGCATAAATTGCATTTGACTGGGCGTGGGTGTGGGTCGCTTCTTCAGGGCGCTCTTCACCAGGGGCGGCTGCTGTTGGGCCATCTGCTGGGCCACGCCTATAACCAGCATATCGCCCGCTCCAGCCGATGGCGCTGGCTGGTAGTTGTCGTACTCCGAACTCCGATTCGACAGCGTTTCCGATTGCCGATTGTTGTTGTTGTTGTTGGTCATCTGACTTTCCCTGCTCTCCCGGCTGGTGGTGCTCTGTTTCCTCCTCAGAATGGAGCTATTTTCCCTCGCCAGGGACTGCAGCTGCTGTTCGTGCTTGTACTGCTGGGCCAACTGAGCGAAGAACTCATTGATGGACATGTGCTCGTAGTTGCCATTTATAATGGCCGTCTCCTGCTTCTGGATTTGCTGCAGCAGCCAGCTCTTCTCGCTCAGACGCTGCTCCAGTGCCTGTTTCCTGGCCTCCAGATTCTCCTTCTTGACTTTTGGATCATCCTCATTGTTGTTGTTGTTGTTGTTATGGTTGCTGCTGCTATGGTTGTTGTTTAAATTATTCAAATGGTTGTTGTTTGTGATGGTAGTGGAGTTGCTAGTGGTCGCCGCCTGTTCCTCATCTTTAAGACTGGCCATATTTCTGCTCTTGGGCGCTTTCAATTGCATCGCCAGTGGTTGGTTGGGTACTTCGGCTTCGTTGGTGGGTTGATTGGTGGTGCGGGTTATTCGATTATTATCGTGAGAATCCTAGAAAAGACAAGGCAGTCTTTGATCAGTCGTCTCCTAAGCTTGTTTTTATTTTTTAATATTTCATATAATAATGTTAAGGGAACTCGCAAGCTCTGATAGCTTTTGATTTTAGTTTAGTAAAGTTTAATATTTTTAAATAAAAGAGCTTAATCAGAGCTGTGAATTCCCAAAAACATTTCTTGTTTAGTTCAGAGTTAGCATTTTGGATTAACAGACGTGCACTAGTCGGTTAGATTCATTTGCCTTCTTGTTGAATTTTTTGTTTTTATGTACAGACTTAGTTTTTATTTGTTTTAGAGTTTTCCCGTTTTATCACGCACCACAACCACTGTATACCTTGAAGCAAACCCACTCCGAAAAAATGGCCAGAACATTAACCCAAACATAGAGTAGTTCGATGAGGTGTTTTTGTTTGTGTTTCATATGTTTCTTATAACTTTTTTTTCTGTTTTTGTACAGTCTAGTTGACCGACTTGGCCTTCAAAGCCGGCGATGACTTAATATCAAACGTGCAAAAGTCGTTGGATGGAGTGCTGTTACAGTGGATGCTCGCTGAGAGGAACCAAACTGGTTTTCCTTCAGCATTCACTGTGGGGGTTGGTTTCTAATTAAAGAACCGCCACTGTTTCATGCTAATGATGTAAATAGCACCGACCACACTTGGACAGAACAATGAACTTATGAGAGGAAGCAAACTACTTATATTTCAAGTTTAAAAAAATATATAAAAATTTAAAAAAGAAACAAATCTTAAAATCAAGTATTAAATACTTAAATCTTAATACATATTTTTTGTTTTGTGTAATTCCTATTGCCAACAAATGAATTATTTTGAATAATTAACAAAGATCGATTAAAATTAAAACCCACACACGATACAAAACAGTAAAAACAACAAAAACAGGTCAAGAACATAAAACTGTAAAACAAAAACAACTCTTAACTCACCTAAAGACACCTTTGTGATTGCTGGCCGTCTTTGTACCCAGTCTTCTTGTTGTTTTTGTTGTTGTTGTTGTGACTTTGCAACGTCGTAAAAACAAACCAGGCCCGTTATATGCGGCAATGCCTGTGAATGGGTAAACAAAATCAATTAGAAAATTTCGGCAAATTGGCCAAAACAACCGTATTAGTTGCTCAGGTGAGAGAGAGGAGCACACCTTTTCGTTTGTCGCTCAAAAATGCGGTCGCATAGCGTCACTTTCAGTGCAGCGCCGCGTCCTCACAAAATATGGAAACAAAAACAGCCTTGTTTTCTAGTTTAACTGCGCTTTGCCGTTGTTAGTGCAGTACGCGATTGAGCAATTAGAGGTCCGCACTTGAGATTAGCTTAACTAAATTAAAAAATTGAGCAAATTATACTTAAAACTCGTGAGCAAACAGCGATGCAGTGCTGCGCCTACATAATTAAAACAATATAGAGATGGCACTATCGAGTGCGTAGGTTCTATTGTTGATAACTATCGATAACGCCATTGTAAAGAAAGTGCTATAAAACGTCTTCCAATGCAGTGTTGCATGCCGGCAGACAAACACTCATCCACCAACAAAGTTGCAGCCGCAAGTGAAGGTATTTCAACAGAAACCAATTGGACGGTTTATTACATAAATTCGCAGTGCTAGCCGGCCAAATAAAGCCATCTTTATGTCATTACAGCTGTTGAAAGCGCTACCCTACCTGCGCAGCGCCACCGGATCTCTGAGATCTCAAATTCCCCGCACAACGTGGAGCAGTCACATTGCCAGCAAAGCACACGCGAAAGTGTTTCTCAGCACCACCTCACAAGCAACCGCCGCTGCAGCCGCATCACCACCCACTCAACCTCAAGGTTCGCCAGTCACCTGGGGCACCAAGAAGCAAAAGCGAAAGGTTAACTTGAGATCCGCCGCTGCCGAGTTCATAATGTCGAATCCCGAGATCGAAGCTCAGCTGGCTCCTCTGCGGGAGCGAGTCCAGGAGCAAGGAAACTTGGTGAGGGACCTTAAGGCCAAGGGAGCACCCGAGCTTGACGTAAAAAAGGCCGTGGCTGAGCTGAAGGCCCGGAAGAAGGTTTTGGAGGAAAAGGAGCTCGCCCTGACCCCCAGTGTGGTCAGCTTCGATCGCGCAAAGATGGAGGACCTTCTGAAGCGTCGATTCTTCTACGACCAGAGCTTCGCCATTTACGGCGGCATCACCGGTCAGTACGACTTTGGTCCGATGGGCTGCGCCCTGAAATCCAACATCCTGGCCCTGTGGCGACAGTACTTCGCTCTCGAGGAGCAAATGCTGGAGGTGGACTGCTCAATTTTGACGCCGGAACCCGTTTTGAAGGCCTCTGGACATGTGGAGCGCTTCGCTGACTTGATGGTTAAGGATGTGAAAACCGGCGAGTGCTTCCGTCTGGATCATCTCATCAAGCAGGCGCTGGAGAAGCTGTCGAAGGCCAAGGAGGCCACGCCCGCCTTGCAAGCCGAGTGCGAGGATATCATCATCAAGCTTGACGGCCTCAACAAGCAGGAGCTGGCCGATGTCCTGGCCAAGTACAACATCAAGTCGCCTCTGACCGGCAACGACTTGACCGAGCCAATCGAGTTCAACCTGATGTTTGCGACGCAAATTGGACCCACTGGCCTGGTCAAGGGATTCCTGCGACCGGAAACGGCTCAGGGTATCTTTGTGAACTTCAAGAGACTGTTGGAGTTCAACCAGGGCAAGCTGCCGTTCGCCGTTGCCCAAATCGGAAATTCTTTCCGAAATGAAATCTCTCCAAGATCTGGCCTGATTCGCGTGCGTGAGTTCACCATGGCGGAGATCGAGCACTTCTGCGATCCCGTGCATAAGGATCACCCCAAGTTTGGCAACATTAAATCCGAAAAGATGACCCTGTATTCCGCCTGCAACCAGATGGACGGAAAGTCTGCCTCTCAGGTGGAAATCGGCGAAGCTGTCGCCACCAAACTGGTGGCCAACGAAACTCTCGGCTACTACATGGCCCGCATCCAGCAGTTCCTGCTTGCCATTGGCATCAAGTCGGAGTGCCTGCGATTCCGTCAGCACATGTCCAACGAGATGGCCCACTACGCCTGTGATTGCTGGGATGCCGAGATCCTCACCTCCTACGGTTGGGTGGAGTGCGTGGGTTGTGCCGACCGCAGTGCCTACGATCTGGGCCAGCACACGGCGGCCACCGGTGTTCGTTTGGTGGCGGAGAAGCGGCTGCCAGCTCCCAAGACAGTGGAGGTCAGCGAAATCGTGCCCAACAAACAAGCCTTGGGAAAAACTTTCAAAAAGGAGGCGAAGAACATTACCGACGCTCTGGCTAAGCTTTCCCTGGAGGAAATCGGCAAAGTGGAGCAGCAACTGGCTGGAGATGGATTGTACAAGCTGACCCTGACCGACGGCCAGACCCACGAGCTGGGTAAGGACACCATCAGCGTGAAGCACTCCTCGAAGACGGTTCACGTGGAGGAGTTCATCCCCAGCGTGGTGGAACCTTCGTTTGGCATTGGTCGCATTATGTACGCGTTGCTGGAGCACAGCTTCCAGTGCCGCGATGGCGACGAGCAGCGCTGCTACTTCACCCTGCCCTCGCTGGTGGCGCCCATCAAGTGCTCCATCCTCCCGCTGTCCAATAACGCTGACTTCCAGCCCTACACCCAGAAGCTTTCCTCGGCGCTGACCAAGGCGGAGCTCTCTCACAAGGTGGACGACTCCAGCGGCTCCATTGGCAGGCGGTATGCCCGCACGGACGAGATTGCCATTCCCTATGGCATCACTGTTGACTTTGACACCCTGAAGGAACCCCACACAGTCACCCTGAGGGATCGCAACACAATGAAACAGGTGCGCGTGGGTCTTGAGGAGGTTGTGGGCGTGGTCAAGGACTTGTCCACGGCGCGAACCTCTTGGGAGCAGGTGACACAGAAGTATCCCCTCTTCGAGCAGCAGGAGGCCACCAAGTAACGTGGTCACCAATGAGATTCCTACGCCTGACACGCATTTACGGAGTTGCAGATTTTTCTAGAATTTTATACTTATGCCTAAAGTTGAATAAACATGGAACTATTAATGCTTTGCACGCTGAACAAATGAAATTATTTATTTTTTTTAAGAAAAATTATTTTAATTTTAAAGCAAGGTTTCTTGCTTCAATCAATTTTTGTTTTGATTGCGTTAATGTCTACACGGATTTTTATTTTTTGTTTGCAGTGCTTGCAAGTGACGCTCATTGCCGGAGACTTGTCAAGCTGTATATGAATGCCTGAAAAGGGAATATCTTAAAGTATGTAAATTAAATATGCATTTTCCATTTTACCATCTGAAAAGGCAAAAACTGGAGAATTGGTAGACGAGTACACGGTAGAAGAAGTAAACGTGTCTTGGGTATCAGTTTCAGCTACTTCCAAAATAGCTCTTTGAATTCTCCTGCGAAGCCGAACTCTACTTTGCTGTGATTTTAAAATTCTTAGCTCAGATGCCACGAAATCACCGAATACTTGATGATCATCTGCCTTATCAAGTAAAGCACTGGCCTTTTGAATAAGCAGATCTTTGTCCTTAAATTCGAGCTCGTCCCGCTTTCTTTTTTTGCCTTTGGATGTCCTTGGTATGTCATCAGATATCGAAAAAAGAGGCGAACATGGTGCGTTGTCACTTAGATCCTAAATATATGTACATATATGAAAAAGTTACGAAGTGATATGAAAATGTTACGAAATATTAAAAAATTTATTTGAATTTTCTTAGGTTGGGGAGAAACATTCTACAAACGAGTAGCTTAAAATTTCATCCGATTTTGAAAGTATTTGGAATTTTTCTCATTGTATCGGTGCATTAGACGGAAAACATATAAATATGAAGGCTCCGTCTAACAGTTGAAGTACCTACTTCGGCTATAATGGCACGCATTGCGTTGTGCTAATGGTGTTAGCAGATGCAAACTATAAAATAATTTATTTCGATGCAAATGAGGCAAAGGAAGAATTTCTGATGGAGGAATTTTTAAGGCATGTAGCCTATCATATGCGTTACAAAATGAACAATGTTCCTGAGGAGCAGCCACTTGCAGGTCGAGATTTAAAGGTGCCCTATGTACTTGTAGCGGATGATGCATTCTCATTGACCAAGATAACCAAGAAAGAGTCAAACCAAAAATATGCTCCGAATGGAACATTCGATAATGACGTTGATGGGGAAGTAGTACCAGGAACTTGGCGTAAAGATCTGACGTTAGAAGGAAACTGCATACCGATTCAAAGAAGTACGCAAAACTCTACTCAAGCGAAAGATATACGGGAAGAATTAAAAAATTGTTTTGTTTCGCACGATGGTGAAGTGTCATGGCAATACAAACATACATATATAAAATAAGTTATTACTACGATATGTTCAATAAATTGTACTACTTACCAAATTTTGAATTTTATAATTTTTTCCGTAGTCATTTTTTATAAATTTGAGCGCATTGAAAAACTCCCATTGGCTGGTATAGTTGTCCGATGTACCGTGGCCACTCTTCTTTTGTTGCACCCTGCGCACCTCTTGCAAAAATTGAGTACGCAAATTATGAATTTTTGTTTTTATTTCGTCATCCTTTTTGCATAACTTTTCAGCAATTTCGCAAAAAGCATTTTTCTTCTTATGCTTGTTTTTATAATCTTGTGAAGAGACATTCCATAAAACGGAATGATTCTCATATAATTCAATTAATTTAATCGTGTTCTCGCGATCCCACATGTTGCATTGCTTGCTGCAATAATGCGATTGAAAGGATATTGCAAGAAAAGCGCATGCAAACAAGCAAGCGCATGACGCAATAGAGATAGCGGTACAAAAATGTATGCAGACGACAAGCAAAAAATATTGCTGCAAAGCGAATTTGGTTGCAGCAATCAACTTGCTGCAAATTATCTGCATCGTGTGTACCTACATACATAGCTTTATATGTATTTCTGGGGAATGCATGAGGTTTATAATTTAGCTTAGTTTTCAGAAAAAAAACCCTTATAACACAAGTTAATATTGTATTTTTAATTGTAAATTTAAATCTAAAAAGAAAAAGTTAAAATAAGTTAAGTATTTTAGAATATTTTGCATGTAAATGTACTAAAACTATTTTCACATAATTTTTATAAAGAAACCTCAAATGTTTATCCTTAAATCGAGTATCTGTTTATAAACCTAAACCCCCTAACCCACATATTGGTTTATTTTCATTTGACATTCGATACCGCCGCGATTTAAATATTTTTCGCGCCATCGTAGTGCACTGGAATTCGACCGCCGTCGTTTACCAACACACACACGGGTATTCCGCGTCTAACGTTGGGTGGTCATACAGCCGGCTCCCTCAAATCGCAGATACGTATAAAATAAATCAACTTTTTGAGGCACCACGTGCAATTGAAGACAAATAAACGGCGCAATTGTCTCTCGGCAATCACTGTAAATTGAGTGACTCCCGCGAGATATCCCGGGTAAATCGATAATCAGTAATCCGAGTGTTGCGAATCGAGATAAAAATGAAATACATCCTGGTTACTGGCGGCGTCATCAGCGGCGTGGGAAAAGGCGTGATAGCATCCTCGTTCGGAACGCTGCTCAAATCCTGCGGCCTGGATGTCACCTCGATCAAAATCGATCCCTACATCAATATTGATGCTGGAACCTTCTCGCCATATGAGCACGGTGAGTTCTATAATTTGTTTTAATATTATATATTGGCGTATAGTATAGTATAGCGCTTAAGACAGCAGGAAAAGAATTTTTTGGCAAATTTTCAATGTGATACACGGAGACAAGTTGTATGTGTGTGTGCGTGTTTGTGTTTGTATGTATCGGAATCTGCAGGTACTTGCATTTAACGTTGCAAGATTGTTGTAATGTAGATGTGTTGTTGTTGTTGTCAAAGGTCACGCGCCACGAGGCGTGAGAAAGAGAGATGGGTAGTGGGAGAGTTAAACTCTGTTGCCATGAGGTGAAAGTGCTTTCGCGCCAAAAGCCCACATCATTAATACTCGCAGAAAGCCGAAAGCAAAACCAGTATTATGGTAATGCCAACAACATAAACAAGTATTATTTATAAATCAAAACTATATACATACCATTGTAAATTATTAAACTGTAAAATAAAGCAAAAGTGGCGTGTTAGACGAAACGTGGGAGTGTGAAAGAGATAAACAGAGTACACAGCAGACTGTCAGCTGTTTTAATCTATCGCCTCTCTCAAAACAAAATGAAAACAACAAGTATTAGCACGTGTTACTTAACTCTCTGAACTTAATACGAAGGCTCGTGTTTGTAAACAAATAAAAAACGCAGTTAATAAAATCGTTAGATTATTAAAGCTCACTACACTTAATAACCGTGTTAACATTTTGACGAAAACGTTATCTCTTTTAGGCACCAGTCTCTCTCCCAGTTGTGCTCTCTGTTTTGACTCTCTCTCATTGTAAAAAGCCGCCCTCAGCCGGTGGATTATTGTTTTTGTTGCAGTTGCTTGACATTGAAAATGAAAGTTTTTTATTTTCCGTTGCTCTTGCTTTGCTCTTTCCCTTTTCCCTTTTTTTTTTCTTGCTTTCCTTCTGTTTGTTTTGGTTTTTATTGTCGGAGGTTGCATGTGTTTGTTTTATTGAAGGAAATGAAATCCATTTACGTGCGGATTAAAAATAACGATTGAAGATCCGCGACCGATCCGAAATCAATGGATATTCAATTAAAACTGAAGCTCTTGGTCAAAAAATTATTAACTGAGAGTGATTTTGATTATGCATTGAGTGTTATCTGTAGCTCTCTTGCTTCATAGGCTCAGTTATTTCCTCTCCCATGTGCTCACCTCGACCCCCTCGTAACTCTTCCCAGCCCAACCCCCTTTTTCGGCCAAAAGAACTTCCTCCACCGAAATGGCAACCAAATGGGCGCCAACGAAGCACAAACTTATTTATGCAACGTGCCAATGCAATTACACAGCCTGCACTTGTATAGGTGAGCCAATTTGAGGGTGCGGGCGTTGCACAGTGCGTATATTTGTATGTGACGCAGCGTTGAACTGCCATGATTGCAGCAGGGACGCTCTACACGTGTTTTGGTTACTTAAAAAAAAAAACAAATAAAAATTGTTTTTATATTAAATTAGTCATTTCTTTTGAATACACACTTTTAAGAATTTCTTAGATGATAGGTAATAGTTTGACATTTTGTAGTGTAGATATGGCCTCTGGAAATTGGCAACTGCCCACCGACCAGCTCGCACACACACCACCCACTGTCCACCTCTCCAGCTATCAGGGGACTTCTGTCTGCCGCCTGTCATTTGCATTTTTCGCCCAGCCTCAGCTTCGTTTTTGGGGGTCGAATTGCACAGAATGCATTTCTGTATTTCTGCTCATTTATTGTGTTGTTGTGCCCGGCGGGCGATGAGGTTGGGTCTCTCTGCCGACGTCGCAGCCGGCGATGGCGTCGCCGCCAGCTGCGGCACATGCGTGTGCTTCATTTGTTTTGCGTTAATTTCGCTGTGGTGTGAGTGTGAGCGCGAGTGGGAGTACGAGAGTCCGTGCGATAAAAGGGACGTGGTGGAGTGAGCATAGGGTGGGGAGGGGAAAATGCCATGGGCGGCCATATTGGCCGATGCCACTGCCGCTGCGTTCTTTCTTTGAGGGTGTCTCTTCTTCTAGCTTTGAGTGCTTTATTGTTGTTGTTGTTGTTTGCCTCTGCCTGGGTCTTGCTGCTCGTCATCTGCCGCTGGCTTTTGCTTATTCTTCCGAGGCTTTTGCGTGTTTTGTGCTCCGTCATGCCCCCCCACCTCTACACCTCACCACATTAGCGTTTTTAGCCATAAAAGAGCCAGCCTCAGAGCTGGCCCCTCTGCTCCCCCCACTCCATTCGCCTCGTCTCTCTCTCTCTTTCTCTGTGTGTGTGTGTGTGGGTCTCTGTCTGCCCATTTGGTTGTGTGGCCGTCATCGGCGCGTCAACATCGTTAGCAGCTGTTGCTCTTTGCCTGTGCGCCATTAACTGCCGCCCCCCCTTATCACCCGCGCCCTATCGAGACCCCTCGCTTTTCGCCTCCTGTTGGCCTGCATTTGCTTTGTTGCTGCTTTCCTGCTTGCGCATTCGTTACGCTCACGTTTCGCGACGACAAAATGCTTGGGCCTCCACTGCCGATACCGATGCCGACGCTGATGCCGGTGTTGTTGCCACTGCCTCTGCTTGTGCTGCTGCCCCTTTATCACGCTCCCGCCCAGCCCTGTGCGTGTGCTGCTATATACAGTGGAGACTCGAATAACTCCAAAAATAAGCCCATTTTAAGTTCTTTAGTTACTGATTATACATAAGTTATATTTATTTTTTTGTGATTAATTTTAAATTACAATTCGAGTTGACTATTTCGCTCTTTCGAAGCTCCACTGTCTTCATATACATATGCCCATCGTGTGTGTGCAAAAATTAAATGGAAAATAGCATTTCGTGGCTGCTCTCCACTAGGATGTGTCCGCCGCTGCTGGCTGGCGTCTGAGGTTGAGTGCCTGCCCAAGCGCCCACCCCTATGCGACCACCCGCCTACCCCACCCCCTCCAGTTTCGCCCCCTCATTTGCCAGCACACGCACACCCACCACAGTACAGTTTACTGCTGCTGCTGCTGCCCTGCTGCTGGGCTCGCACGTGTTCGTGTGTGCGTGCGTTCTACGGCTTCATAAGCTTCAATCTTGTGTCTGGCCGAAAGTTTTGCTCCTCTCCTGCAATAACTTTAAGCATAGCTTATGGACCGCTTTAAGTAATTACATTGGGGCCCGAGGAATTATCCCTAATTGACCGTTAGAAAATGAGCTTACTTTTGGGTTGATAAAGGGAGCCTTTCTCTTGATTTTTTTTTGTTTGTTTGAGTAAGTTGTGATAATAAGGTGATATTGTTAATTGAGTGACTTACTCTTATGTTTTTAAAAAGAGTTAGTTTTTTGAGTGGTTTTTTGTTGTCTTTTTTCATTAATCTGACATCTCAAAAGTCCTTCTCAGATATTCCTATCCTTCTGGGTTTCATTAGGCGGCCAAGTTTGGTTGGAAAAACCTGCCTTCTATCTTAAATAAGATCTAATTTCCTGGCGCTTCCTGCGCTAACGGTAATTCCGCATCAGGAGCATAATTCTCCTGGTTAATTGTAAGAAATGAAATTCGGAGCTGGTGCTGCTGGTAGCTTCTGCTGCTGGTAGCTTCTGCTGCTGTCCAATCGCACTTGCCCCTTATTATATCGCGTTATATTACAAGTTCTCCATGCTGCCACCTCACACTTGCCGTGTCTGAGCGACAGGCGCCAGAGAAAGGGGGGCGGGGCGGGGGAGGAAAAAGAAAATGCGGCGAAAAGCTAGAGGAAGAGCGGTAGCCGGAGCCGGAGCCACAGCCAAATTCACGTCGATTCACGTTGCACCGCCCCCGCTGCTTTTGATGTCTCCTCGCTGCTCCGCCACTGCCTTGCCTCTGGCCCCTGTCGCGTGATTTTAACGAGCCTCCCCCCCACACTCGCCACCCCCCCCGCATTGCCACCTTCCGCTGTCCCACCTCGTCCGCGCGCGCTCTTCATGGTTTATGCTTTTTTGCTCGCTTCCGCGCCTTGATTGTTGTTGGATAGTAGACGCATGCAGTAGGCAGAAGCAGCAGGCTGGCAGCAGGAGCAGAAAGAAGAAGAGGAAGGGAGGTTGGTGGGCGGGGGGGGGGGGGCAGAGCGAAGCGAAAAGCAAAGCAGCAGGCTGGCACTCAACGATGGCGGCGGCCGTTTTTAGCGTTTGTGCGCGATTCCCCCCCACCATCTGCCCTACATCCCCATCCCACACACACACACACACACTCTCGTTTCGTGTGTTTGTCGGTGTGTGTGTGTCGCGCCGGCAAAAGCAAAAGCTTGTGGCGTGGCTTTGGCTTTGGCGATGGCTCTCGCATCGCATCGCAGCGCCTGTGTGCCTTGCCTGCTCCCCTATTGCCCCACCCCTTCTCCCCTGGATGGCTCGTTGGCTCGACAGCCGGGCCTGGGCCTCCTCGCTGGCGTTTTTTGCGTTTCAGTGTGCGCTTCCAATGCCCTTTCTTATCTGAAGGACATTAAAATTCAAGAGGTGTTTGAGGAAGTAAGGATATAAATTATCTTGGTAATAGGATATTATTTTAAATAATTAATTTTTTATTTTTTAAAGATAGAACTCTTATCTTCTCAACGATAATATTAATTTCTTATGAGGTAGGGTATTCCGACTTCGGACTGCCTTGGACTGGCTTCCTTTTGTACTTTTTTCTCCTTTTTTTTTCATATTATTTTGCCTGCCTGCTGCTGCTGGCCTGGCTCTGAGTTGGCTTGGCTGGCTGGCTGGCTGGCTGGCTGGCTGGCTGGCTGGCTGGCTGGCTGGGGCTGGCTGGCGTCGTTTCAGCTGGCACGTTTTGTTGGCCTGGCTCGCTTGGCTTTTGGGGGCTTGGACCTGTGACTGGGCCTGAAACTGCCACTGCTGCCACAGCCACTGCCGCCTCTGCCTCTGCCTCTGCCTCCCGGCACTTGGCTCATGGCTTTCGGTTGTCGGTTGATGGCGGATGGCTGCAGCCTGACGCAGTGACGGCGGGCGGTGGTGGGGGTGGGACGAGGGTGCTTCGGCGGTGGCGGTGGCGGCGCGTCAACGGCAATGGGCAACAGCAGCAGCACCAGCAGCAGCAGAAGCAGCAAAAGCAGAATCGGCGGCAATGGCAGCCGCCGCGGCAGCAGCGACAGCGGCGCTTCGCACTTTGCTCTGCTGAATTTTCAATTTCAGTTGTAAGCTGACTGCAATCAGCAGTGGTTCGCCTTTGGTTCGCAATTCGCAATTCGGCCGAGAGTTCGGATTCGACTCGCTTCTGTCGCTCGGGCACGCCGCGCTCGCTCCTCGGGAAATAACGGCAAAACGGAAAACGGGCAAACAGAATACGGTCTACGCTGTCCGAGCGCCAACTTTTCGATTATAAACTTTGGCGGTAACATACGACCACCCACTGGGCAAACTTAACTCCCTGCCACCCACCACCCACTACCCGCCACCCACGCGCCCAACGCCCACATCACGTTAGTTGCGGCTCCTGGCGCGCTAATTTTGCATACACATGTACATGTGTGTGTGTGTGTGTGCGAATTAAAACACACGCATACCATCATGTGTGAGAGTGTGCGTGTTTTATTGATTTTATAGAGCAACAAAAACAGCAACTATATAGTTTACTGCCTCCCCCTTCCTCCCCTCCCCGTCATCAGCCTATCGGCACTCTTCCTTTGCTCTTCGTTCCTGGGCTAATTTCAATGACAGTTAAAGCGAGAGAGTGGGGATGGGGAGCAAAGAATAGGTAAAGATTAAGAGGGGGAGAGAGGGAGATTAAAGCTGATGGAAAGCGAAATTTAACCGTTTAAAGTTTAGAGATGGGAGTTTTGAAGATGAGAATTAAAGCTAACGGGAAATGGAAGAATTTGAGTAATTAAGGACCTGCCAAGTAATCTGAAGCTAAAGAACCACCGGAAATGGTTATCTTTTCTATAGCTTGGATGAATCCAAAGCCTTTATTCCATAGTTGACCTATAAATGTTTTAGCATCACGCCTTATCTCGATTAGACTTCACTGATAAGCTGCCACCGCCAGCCGAGGAAATCAAAGTTTGGGAAACAATTTCCAGCAGATCCACTTAGCTGCCAATTTCCCAACCAACAGCTTCCAGTTTGTGTCAGAGTGTGTGTGTGTGTGTGTGTCGCTGTGAGGGGCCTCATAACTTTCCTCGGCGGGTCCAAACTTGTGAAATTCTTGGCTACTAGCCGAGGAGCCAGCCAGCCCATCTCCCCAGTTACCAAGCTCGCAAAATCAAGCACCTCGGCGGCAGCTGGGCCAGCCTTTGCGCTCCATCCACCACCCCCTCACCTCACCACACCTAACAACACTGTCGCCGGCAGTTTTTGCCCATAAAAACGGCAACGGGCAACAACGGCAGTGGCGGCACCAACAACAGCAACACCAACAACAGCAACAACAACAAAGACGAAAACGAAAATTTAACGACTGCGCAACGTGACGCATTATTTGTCTGGCTTGCTGGGTCTCCGGTCTCGGGTCTCTTGTCTGGTGCCTGCAGCAAAGCTATAGCTATAGCTGTGGCTGTTTCTGTTGCCGTAGCTGCCGCCAGAAATTGCTTTTACTCGCTGGAATATATAGTATGTGTGTACGGCCTGTGCTTCAGCCTGTGCTACAGCCTGTGCCTGTGACTCTGCCTGCCTCCGCATCCGCACCTCATCAGCCCTCCCGCCATACTGCACCCCGCCTGCCACACAACAGTCAGTCCCCATAGTCCGCAGTCAGCAATCCACACTCCACGCTGCCGTTTTTAGTATTTCGCACTCTGTGCACGGCAAACATTTTTGCATGACTGACTGAATGCCGCCGCCTGCGCCTGACTCACACTCACACCAACACACTCGCACACAGATGCACTGGGGCCAGACAATGCACTTAGAGAAAAAGGTAGTCGATATGAATTATTGAATATCTACTATTGAGGAACCTCAAAATGAGCAACTTTTTTAAAAGAAAGACCTAAAAAAAAAAAAATAATATTAATACCTACCTATATTTACATTTCTCTCAGTGTATTTGCTTATTGCAAAAGGGGGGCGGTGGACAGGAAGAGGCCGAGGGAGCAGTGCAGAGCAGACCAGGCCAGGCCAGGCGAGTGGAGTAACTGTTGGCTGGTCGTCGCCGTCTGTCTCTGTCTCGCTGTCTCTGTCGCTGGCCCGGCCTGGCGTGTTTATAATTTGATTTCGCTGCTTCTTTCCTGCCTTCGGCCGGTCTTTTCGCGCAAGGAGGGGAAGTGTCGTCCGGAGGAGGATGAGGTGGGGATGGTGGAGAATTCGGAGACGGAGAGCAGAGCAAAGCGAGCAGCGCAGAGCAGCATTTCCTGTCGCTCGGCTCGCTCGTTTCGGGCCTAGGCCCAAGGAAGGAATCTTTAATGAAGTTATTGTGTTAAGTTGGAGGTTGTTGTTTTTGTTGCGCCCCCTGCAGAGATGTGGTCAAAGAGCACTGGACGATGCGGTGCTCATTGATCGCGACTAACTTGGTGTGGGTGAGCGAGAGCGGGTGGAATGGGAGGGGGGGTGCTAGAGTCGAGGCGAGCTCAGCGCCTAATTGCTTTTCTTCATTTCTCTCAGTGCGCTCTTTTCCGGTGGCCGGTGGTGGGGCTGCATTTGGCATTCACCGTTAGCCGACGGACAAGTGAAACAGCAGAGGAGGGGAGCCAGTGAATTAAACGAGCGCGAGTGAGACAAAGCAAACCATTTGAGCGAAAAGATGGCGCCAAAAAAGTCCACCATTGTGCTCAATGTGGAGCAGTTCATTCACGACATCGAGGAGCGTCCGGCCATCTGGAATCGCAATTTTCACTGCAACAAGGCCTTTCTCGAGCAGATGTGGGACGAGCTGAGCGGGGCGCACAAGCTACCGAGTAAGTAGAGCATATGGCCAAAAAGGTTTGTCAGTGGTGCCAAAAAAAAAGAAGTGATTGTGGTTTAGAGAAAATAACGGTAAAAGCTTATGAAATTATTTTCACCGTTATTAGCCAGTAATTTTTTTTTTTTTTTTTTTTTTTTTTTTTTTTTGTAATAGCAGGGTAATGTTTATTTAAAACTGTCCATTAGGGACAACCATTAAATTTTATCACGTAAACTTCACGTATAGATATTTTTAAATATTAATATGGTAGAAAAAAAAATTAGAGTAGTAAGGGGAGGTCCAGCGGGTGTGTCCTTTTAAGTCTTCTGGGTTGCTCGCATTAGCCAGTAATGATTGAAATTTTTAAAACCGCTCAAAAGCTAACTTGGCATCACTGACAATGACTCCACTCAACTTCTATTGTCATCTTTTTGTTTCTGTCTTGCCCATTTCCGCTCCTGCTATCCTGCTCTCCCAGAGATCGTGCTCAAGGCCAAGTGGAAGGGTCTGAGAGATAATTTTAGAGTGGAGTACAAGAGAATACCGCGAGCGGATAACGGTGATTTCCTAGTGGATCCCGCCACTTTCGAGTCCAAGTGGCTGCACTACTACGCCTTGCTGTTCCTAAGTGAGTTATTTCATTAATCATATAGAATTATGATTATTGGTTATATCGAATCCAACCCTTTAGCTGATCACATGCGGCATCGATTACCCAAGAACGAGCAGGATCAGTCCTTCTACTTTAATCAACAAAGCCAAGATTGCGAGAAGACCGTCGTGGAACCGGATCTAACCAACGGCTTGATACGTCGACTGCAGGACAGTGACGAGGACTACGACGAGGAGGACATGGAGGCAGAGGCGGACGGAGAAGCCAGCGAAGCCACCATGGAGGATGCGATGCCTACACCCCCAGCCGCCCATCAAACCAACCAAGTGAGCACCACGCCCCTGGCCACAGGTGCCCTCAAGGCCCAGGAGGAAGCCCATCAGCAAGCCCTTCTGAAGGCGGGACTGCTGCGTGCTCAGCTGCTGGAGTTGGATAAGGAGGCCGAGGATCTGAGCAAGAAGCCCCCGCAGCAGCAGCAGCATCCGCAGGTTCCTCTAGTCCAAATGCTTGTGGAACCACCTGCTGCTCACTGCTCGCCGCCTCCCATGGTGACCACCACCTCTGCTCAAGTTCCACAGGCCGGATCGACGGCCGTTTTGGCTCCGGCTACCACCACATCCGCCTCCTCCGTGTCATCCAATGGAGCGCCATTGGGCGGCAAGAGATCGGTATCACCTCCACCCCTCTACAACAAAGCGCACCACCCACTGGCCACCCTGGCAGCAGCACATCACGCCGCCAAGGAGAGAGGGGAGGACTTTGGAGGAAGTGCAACCACTGGAGAGCACTTGAATTTCACGCAACACTCCTACGCTAATGGTCTGATACCTGCACTAAAGCTGAAGCGACCACGACTGTCCGAAGATAGCAACTTCAATGGTTCCTCAACGATGGACACGCCTCTGGTGCCGGAAGACGACGACTACCACTATTTGCTGAGCCTGCATCCGTACATGAAGCAGCTCACGGCAGCCCAGAAACTACGCATCCGCACCAAGATACAAAAGCTCATCTTCAAGGAGCTCTACAAGGAGGATCTCGAGGAGTCCAAGTAGTGCAACACCTCGAATACCTCTAGAATAAGCCGAAGACTGTACATACTCCCTGTAGCCCAGTAGACCGTAAGGATTATGCTTAGTTTTGTCCATGCCATGCTACTTGATTGATTTCTAGTTGAGCGCCACTCCAAGGAAAGCTGGGAGTGGGCCATTTACGCCTAAGCACAAATACCTTTAAAATAAAAGTATTTACTTTAAAGATCTGCGATTTCCAATTATTTGGGGGATGAGGGCTTGTACTCCATTGTACTGTGTAAAGATTAATCCTAATCCTTATGATCTTTTAGGTGAAGTATACGTTTTGGACGATGGCGCCGAGGTGGACCTCGATCTGGGCAACTACGAGCGGTTCTTGGACATCACCCTGCACAGGGACAACAATATAACCACCGGCAAGATTTACAAGTTGGTCATCGAAAAGGAACGCACTGGGGAGTACTTGGGCAAGACCGTTCAGGGTGAGTTCAAAATAAATATCTGTTTAGAAGCCATTTTCATAGATTCCTTTCACAGTTGTCCCACACATTACAAACGCCATCCAGGACTGGGTGGAGCGCGTGGCTCAAACACCTGTCCAGGGCTCGTCGAAGCCACAGGTGTGCATCGTAGAGTTGGGCGGCACTATCGGCGATATTGAGGGCATGCCTTTCGTGGAGGCCTTCCGCCAGTTTCAGTTTCGGGTGAAGCGAGAGAACTTCTGCGTGGCCCACGTGTCGCTGGTTCCCCTGCCCAAGGCCACCGGTGAACCAAAGACCAAGCCCACCCAGAGCTCGGTGCGGGAGCTGAGAGGCTGCGGCCTGAGTCCCGACTTGATTGTCTGCCGATCGGAGAAACCCATTGGCCTCGAAGTTAAGGAGAAGATCAGCAACTTCTGTCACGTGGGCCCCGACCAGGTGATCTGCATCCATGACTTGAACTCCATTTACCACGTCCCGTTGCTGATGGAGCAGAACGGCGTCATCGAATACCTCAACGAAAGGCTTCAGCTCAACATCGACATGAGCAAGAGGACCAAGTGAGTGTGTATGGTACAGGTGGTCCATTCAAGGTACTAATCTGTGGTCGCTTTCAGGTGCCTTCAGCAGTGGAGGGACTTGGCTCGTCGCACGGAGACAGTGCGTCGCGTGGTTACTATCGCCATTGTGGGCAAGTACACCAAGTTCACGGACTCGTACGCCTCCGTAGTTAAGGCCCTCCAGCATGCTGCTTTAGCGGCCAACCGTAAACTGGAGTTGGTCTTCATTGAATCGTGCCAGCTGGAGGAGGAAACGCTGCAGACCGAACCCAGCAACTACCACAAAGAGTGGCAGAAGCTCTGCGAAAGCGATGGCATCCTGGTGCCCGGTGGCTTCGGCTCCCGCGGCATGGAGGGAAAGATCCGGGCCTGCCAATGGGCGCGAGAGAACAAGAAGCCGCTTCTCGGAATCTGCTTGGGCCTCCAGGCAGCTGTAATCGAATTTGCTCGGAACAAGCTTGGCCTGAAGGACGCCAACACTACGGAAATCGATCCGAACACAGCAAACGCCCTGGTAATCGATATGCCGGAGCACCACACGGGCCAACTGGGTGGCACTATGCGGTTGGGCAAGCGGGTAACCATTTTCAGCGATGGCCCCAGCGTTATCCGGCAGATGTACGGCAATCCCAAGACGGTCGAGGAGAGGCATCGGCACCGGTACGAGGTGAATCCCAAGTACGTGCCACGATTGGAGGAACAAGGAATGCGCTTCGTGGGCACCGACGAGGAGAAGACTCGCATGGAGATTATCGAGCTGAGCGGTCATCCCTACTTTGTGGCCACCCAGTACCATCCGGAGTACTTGTCGCGCCCCCTGAAACCGTCTCCGCCCTTCCTTGGCCTAATTCTGGCCTCAGTGGATCGATTGACGCAATACATCCAGCGTGGTTGCCGGCTTTCGCCCCGCCAGCTGTCCGACGCCTCCTCGGACGAAGAGGAGACTGTACGTGGCTTGGCCGGAGCTACAAAGTCGCTTAAGGCCCTGAAGCTCCCCACCTCTCCGCGGAATGGAATTTCAAATGGCTGCAACGGCAGCTCCAGCACTTCAGACGGCGAGGGGGCCTGCGGAGGCATCGATATCCCCAATGGCCACCAATAAACAGTTATATAATCTAAAAATTCTTAAAATATGAAAACATTAGAGATGCTTTTGTGTGTAAAGGAGGATGAAGTCGAATATTAAATCGAAGGGATGGAAAGAAATCGGAGAATATGTTACAAAGCAATAGTCGAATACGAACTTTGATAAGAAAGTGGTTCCAATAATGTCACAAAGAGTCCATGGAGACTATGGAAAGTGTATATTTCATCCCCGAGAACCCAAGTCGACTCATCCCAATGTGTATAGCCTCGCGTGTGTCTTCTTGGTCGGAAACGAACTAAACTACTTAGTTTGTAATCTCTACTAAAATTATAATTATTTGACTTGATTATGATTCTTGTTAGTTAAGCGAAAAGAGTGTTTAATTTAAAGTTTAAATTTAAAACAAAAACTAAAGAAAAAAAAAGGATAAATAAGCATAAAGCGATACCTTACTTTATTTTTAGATAAACCATGAATTAATTAAATATAAACTGTGTGTTATTTATGATTTCGGTGGGGGTTCTATTTCAGTTTGTTTTTTTAGAAATAAAATTGTTTAATAATAAAATTTATGAAACTTATTCGGTGTTTATTTATATACTTAAATGAGGCTTAAGAATTTTAAAGAGGATGCCCTGTCTGAATCTCAACTCCTTCCATTTATTTTTATTTAAACTTTCACTTTTAAAACAAATCTCTTATTTTATTTTGTATATATATGTCTCTATTTCACATTGACACTGAAATCCTCTGAGAGATCTCGAGTAAATGAGATTTTATAGTAGTTTTATTTTTTTCCTGCTCGTTGACTCTTACGATGCACGCAATTAGCAGTCAGAGAATTAATCAAACACTGGTACTCGTAAATTATATTAAAAATTCGCAAACCGGCGGGCCATGCAGACAGAGCGGGCCATGCTCTACAAAAATAGAAAAATAGACAGGGCATACATTTGGGCTTGCACCGCCGATGGGATGCGATGGCGATGGCTTCTGGCCAATTGAATCGAGGCAGATCGCAAATCTCAGACCAAGAACAATGTGCATTCTTCATTGTTCATTCGATTGAGTTACGTGCGCGGGCTAATTTCGCATTCGAGATTTCGAGAATAAAATGCACCAGTCGGTGGGCCACAAAAAGAAGCCAAGGATCCGGAATCGGGCCAGGAACAAGTGCAACCAGGCACAGGCTGACCAGGACGATACTCCACTGACAGTACCCGTGAAAAATAACCCATCGGAGGAGGATAATCCACCCGAGAGTGATACCATCAAACTCATTCAGCAACTGTTGCGTCGCAAATTGTTGGCCAAAAATAAGGCCACCGCGAATCCTTCAATTGGTAAACCAGAAGCCCCCAGGGAGCTGAAAACCGAGGAGAAGAAACCGCCCATCAACACTGCCGAGCTAGTCAAAATATTACCCTTAATTGCTAACCAGTCCAAGGAAGCCAGACCCCTTGAAAAAAAGCCCAAGGCTCAGACTGCACCACCACAACCGGCTCCAGAAGCACCCAAAATCCCACTGCCCACCACGAAGGCCTCAAGGGACGTTAAGGCCGACGAAGTGGATGAGCTTCTAAAGTGTTTGGGGAGTAAATTGCAAAAAGGTAAGTAGTGTCGGCTGTTAAGATAAATACTTTTAAATTTAAAAGCAAATTATAACAATCCAGGTCCAGGGGAGTCCCCCACCGCCGCTCTATTCAGTAATCTCGGCAAGCTCTTTAGCCAGGCTCCACCTAGCGATGTGGAGTCCTCCGATGATGAGGCCGAGTACATCGAGTACATCTATAAACCGAGGCAATACTTTATGGCCTCATTGTGCAATGTAGGTGATTCTATATTTTTAAAAATAATAAATCTTTAAAACAAAGAAATATTATTTTTAAAAAAACTTTCTAAATTTTCTTTGTTCTTCCATTAGTTTTGCAAAGGAGATCTCTGCGGCCAAAATCCACTGCCGTGCACCCGTTGTGGACTGAGCTACTACTGCTGTAGTGGCCATATGAGTGGCGACCAGGAGCACCGCCAGCTGTGCTATGCCCTCCGCCAAACGGTCACCCACAATGGTGAGAAAGATTCGTGCTGTCAGCGAACCATAAATCACTCTAATTGCCAATTATCGGTCCATAATCCAGGTCACGACATGTTCTACAAGTGCGGCGACTTCAGTGCCGAGCAGTTCCGCTCCTACCGGATCGTCTGCATCCGCCAGGTGGAGAAGGAGATGAATCGCCAGCTCACGGCCACGGAACAAGAACTACTCCTCTTCCCCCTGCTCTGTTCTCAGGCCAAGTGCCGGGAACATCGCTTGAAGCGCCTGTCCACCTGTGGCGGGTGTGGAGAGGTGGCCTTCTGCAAGGACAAGCCCGATCATCTCAGTCCGGATCACTCCAAGTGGTGCCACGCCTATCGCTTGTTTAAGGCGTGTGTCATGTTCCAGGCGAAATTTGGAAGGTTGGAACCATCGCTGCCCAACAAAGTACTGCGGGAACTTCCCATGGCCTGCTCCAACACTGGGCACATGATGAAGAAACTTAATTTCAGTAAGAATTGTGTTCCTAGATGCAGGTGCTTTTAATGCAGATTCGTGGAGAATCGATCCATGAATTGTTTGAGGTATTCCGCTCAAGAATCGGATGACTATTGTCATAGATATAGCCTTCTCAGTGGGCCAGATAGTGGCTCCATGAAGTTTTAGAGCTTTCGAAGGGGATCCTCCAGAAAATTGACAAAAAATTAAAAAAGAAATTCTGGTCTTAGGATTCAAGGTATTCCGCTCAAGAATTGGATGAATATTGCCTAATATATAGCCTTCGCTGTAGGCCAGATAATGGAATCCTCCAGAGAATTTGACAAAAAATCTAAGAAAAACTGTCTTCTAAGATTGTGATGCAGATTAAGGGAGAATCGTTCTACGAAATGTTTAAAGAATTCCATTCAAAAATCAGACTATTTATCCGATTACTATTTTATTAAATCGAAAAGTTATAACAATAATAAGATGTATGTCCTTCTCCCTTTAGATGTCACTGATGAGTGCGAATACGCCGCCCTTACTCAGGTGTCCACAGGACCTTTAACAGCCTGGTTCGCCCTGAAACTCTGCGAACGTCTAAGGAGCTGCGAGGAGCTAACGATTCATTTGATTGGAGCGGAAATCGAATTCGAAGTGGATGTCCTGCAAAAGTGGGAGCTGTTCTTGCTTCACATAACCCCAGTGGTAAAGACCCTGAATGTGGTGTTTATTGGACCTGAATTAAACCCCAATAATATATCATTTGATCAGCTAAAGAAGATAAAGTAAGTTGGAAGATATTTATATATTTTATAGTTTTAATAGGGTTTTTATGCTATTTTTAAGGTGCTGCCGCTTATGCAGAAAGTTCCAAAGGACGGTTAATTATTTCTTTGAAAATAGCCTTTATCATGATTATTGTAAGGAAACGCATTTTCTTAAGCCAAGTTTGGGTAAGTTTTAAAATATTTCTATACGGATTTTTTTATTAATTGTTTTTAATCTTTTCAGTATGCTTTTTCAACTCGGGTCTCTACCGATCGACTGGATATGCACTGGAGGACACTTGGCCGGATACCATTCAGGCTTCTCTGAATCTCGGATGCCCCATTGTGGTCACTTCCTATACGAAGTATGAGGCTCCTTTGGACATGGTGCATTTCATTAATCAATCTAATCGCCATATAAATGTCGTCCTGCCGCCGACCATTAATCCTTTTTCATCCGAGAAGCCGGAACGCAACTTTATATCCGACGATGAAGCTCCGTTTATGTTTAAAAATTTTTATTGTTTTGTTGTTGAATAAAATTATGACAATAAACTGTTTTTTATTTGTTAACAAAACAATTTTGAGATAAATAACATCGTTTTTGATAGAAATTTTTGAAATATAATTTATAAACATTTTTTCGAAATTTTTTTTTCAAAATAGGGGTTTCATTCTTGTCTGGTTAATAAAAAGGGAAATTATCTTAAAATATTCTTATTTTAAAAGAAAAAATAAATATAAGTAAATAAGAAATAACATAAGCACTTTGCAAACTTTGCAATCAAAGTTTTATTAGTATATTTGTAAATTATTTGAAAAATAATTTCAAAAAGTAACGTTTTCATCTAGTAGTGGCGCCCCTAGCGGCGAGTAGAAAAAATTAATATTTTCACATTCGTTGTGAATGGCAAAAGAAACGGGCACACCCATGATACAATTTTACAAAGAACAAAGTCAACGGTGCGCCAGTGAAGCCGGTGGCGGTGAAGAAAGTCAACGGTGCGCCAGTGAAGGTGGTTGGTGAAGCTATGACGATCGTGTCTAATGTTCCAACCAGACCATTAACCTTAATTTAAAAAAAAGGTGCCATTGCCACGTGGCATTTAGATGCCAATAATGTATTATGGACGACAAAGGGGCCACAATGCCCCTATTGTTACAAAACGCTTAAGTCAAACACTCTTCTTGAAAAACATTTTAGGGACTGCCTCACAACACCCAAATTATACCACTATGTGTGGTGTCCTTATTCCAAGGAATTGCCCAATTTTAGTATGCACTTGTTGCTTAACAAATTTTTGGAAACCAGCGACGCCGCAGCTTTTGGCGAAATCAGCGTCGCCGCAGCCCGTGGCAAAACCAGTGGACCTGGAAGAACTGTTTATTGGGCGGCCATTGGTGGTGCAGCGGGTGGCAATGTCGGAGGCAATTGACCGATTCAAAGTCAAAATCATACCAAAAGTCGCTCGGATCGAATCCGATCCCTCTCCAACCGATCGAGCTGAGCCCAGGCCCAGCCAAACAAGGCGAACCAGACCAGCCAAAGGAAAACACAGAGGAAAACTCACCACATCACAGAAACGAAGCTCACACACATAGACAAAAAATGTAATTTTCACAACACTTGTCAAGTTTTGAACGTTTTCCAACTTCGCGCTTCCAACCCACTCAGTGAGACAGATTTTCTGCTCTCTTCTTCCTCTCCTATTTCTGCATCGCGAAGTTGAAAATAAATGAAAAAATTGACAAGTGTTGTGAAAATTCGGTTAGTTTTTATAGTAACTTTTGAAATTTTGCAAGTACTCAAGATTTTTTTGAAAAAATCAAAGAGTTATTAAAAAGCCAATTTCATCAATTTGTTATCGATTTCAATTTTAAAATTGAAATACCTTTTTTGAAAACCAAAAAAAACTCAATAACTCCTTAACCCACCCACCTGATATACAATCCTGATAGAATACAATTCATAAAAAACACCAAATACACCGTATATAAGCATAAGCAATCATACATTAAATTACCAAAATTACTAACCTAAAATACATAGATATTAACAAAAATAATAATCTTTAATGTTAATAATTAATAATAATAATGTAAATTTTAGTTGAAAAAATTAAGAGTATTTATTTATTTAAATTTATTTTTATTTATTTTTTTCTCAATTTATTGTAGTACAAAAATACTCTTTTTTTCCACGACCTTCGAGGTAGAGTATAAGGTGCGTTTTTTTATAGTGGTATCCCCGAGAGGCCTAATCCACTATACTAAAACTAAACTAAACTAAAATAATACAAAAACTAATACTAAACTATACTATATTATTCTTATTTAATATAAATCTCTTTAATGGGCCAGCCTCCTCGTCATCCCTCGTCGTCGCCTCCTCTTGGACCATCAACTGGCTCCCCGCTAGTGCAATGTGCCTGGAAAAAAAATGTTTTTTATGATATATATGAATATGAATATGAATATATGAATAAAATATAAATATATGAATACTTACGATTCCTTCAGCTCCTTGTGCATTTTTTGAACGAAGACAGTTGCTAATGTGGCCATGAAAGCAACTGCCTCCTAACGATCGGCAAGGACTGCTGGAAATTTAGCAAAGCCCTCCGCTGCCCCAAAATGAACGTCATAAGCCAGCTTGGCACCCACTTCTTCCATGTGGTTCGAGTTTAACCACCTTAGGTTGAAGGTCCTATTTGGGAAGTTATTAAATAAATTCCCAAATAAGGACTCAAGGGTAAGACGCTAAAATTAAAGAAAATAATAAATAAAATGTTTGCTTTATTAATTGTGCGAAACTTACCTCCTCTTTGTAACGGTCGTGTAATGGGGAGGGCACTTTCTCCGCCACCAACCGTTCAAAATCCGAGAGGATTCTCAAATAATTCTGTTTTGTGAAACTTGGATTAGTATATAAACGGTTTGCGAAAAGATCCAAAGTTCCCAAACGGCTGCAAATCATACAGAAACGGAACTCCACGGTTCTGCATGTATCTTATTGCCTCCAGATTGGCGGCGCATTTATCCGCCACCGCACCGACCAATGTGGAGGTAAGAAGGTTCCTTTTATTGATACTGGCCAATACCATCTGCACTCCTTCTAAAATGGCAGCCGATCCCATTACCTCGATGCCACTTGATGCCTACAAAAATTAAATTAATTTCATAAAAATAGGTAATTATTGTACTTACCGTACGCAAATAAACAATTTGCATATGTCCTGAGAAATTGGAAACGGCAAATATTTTCTAATTTCTCATATTATCTGGAGCATTATGTAAAATTTCATTATATATATAGTATATATATTATATATATTAAAATTGTGACATTTCGTATATGGAATTCGTCGAATATAATGAAAAATGGTTCATTGACCATAATGTAATTGAAGTTGCTTTCCATTATGGCGTAACCATTCTCTAATGTATTTTTGCGTTTAAATAACCATTCCAGAAATTCTTCTGGAATGTTATTTTGCAGAACGCATTCCAACGATCGCACGCACTCCATCTTTACCACTGAAATTCTCACTCTGGAATGGCTTTGGAAAATGAATGGTGGTAGGTAAGGGCAAAGATTATAAAGTACATAGATGGGACATCAGGGCCCAAAACGGTCAACTTTTTTCTTCGAGCTTGTTGGTGAGGGGGGAAACGCACATGCATACGATTCTATTTTTAGAACTCTTTACATGTACCCGTCAACAAAAATGTGAACCTATGTGTGACTGCTCGCACGACGGAGTAAAAATGTTTTGGCTTCCAAATTTCAATTTCAATTTCTCGTTTCTGTTTTCGATGCGCCGATGTGGTAGTTGGTAGAACAAATAGTATTTTTGATCGCCGCAGATCGAGACAGGATGGTAGCGTAATGCATAGAGTAGTTACTCTATGTGTAAATTTTCTGTGTTCAAATCCTCGTAAGGACTTTGAACTTTTTCTTTCAAGGGAGTCCTTCCGGCATTTTGTCATCCGGACCCGTCCGTCACTTATTTTTACTTTAATTGTTATAGAATGCAATTAAAAATAATAATGATAACGTAAAAATTAAAACTAAAAAAAAAAAAATAATACAAAAATAAAAGTAAATATAAAAATAATCATAAAACTAAAACTTTATCAAAATCGAAACAACCGCCCGCTAATGAAGTCGAACCATCTAGGCTACCCTCGAAGTTGATTTTATGATTAATTAATAAAATTATAAAAATTATAATACCCTCTGCAAGGGTATAAAAAAAACCGTTTCGAAAAATCGTACTTAGTTTAAAATTTATTAATTGATACCATGAAATCGGCCAAATTCCCCATAGTGCATTAAAAGAAAGCCCTTCGAGCAGTGTGACCAGATGTAGGTTGCAATGAGGATGGGGATTTTTTTAGTCCCAAAAACGGTATATAACGCGGCCTTCCCTCCATTCCCATTCAGTTGTCAACAGCACGCCAAACGCTTGACTTCTCGCTTTTTATTTTTTTCTTTTTTTTTTTTTCAATCTTGTGCCTTTAATTTGGCTCAACTGGTTGTGTAATATTTTTTTTTTCCGGTCTTTCAGAATTTGGAAATGGCTTGTGCATCAATAAGAGCATCAGCTAGCATTCCTGTATTCATCATAAAGCTTAGAGGCCCAGACGACCGAGAGGCGCTCAAGAAACGACTTGTTAGATTGTATTAAGCTATTTGTAATTTATTAAGCTAGGAGGAGTTAGTAAGGAAATTTAAAATTCTATATTTTAAATTTGAGGGACAGGAAAGAGATGTTATTGAGTAGAGACCATTATAGTTTGAACATAACACCCTAAAAGGGTCATGCAGTGCATATGTCGAACTACAACGGCTAAGGAACAGAGGACTAAAGTTTCGAGTCCTTCTATTAGGAATGTTAAATTTTAAGCGTTTTAGTAAATGCTAGCTATCTGCGTCCCCGTTTGTCATTGTCCTACGATTTGTTAAGCTAGGTAAGTTTATGAGTAAGAGTCTACTATTATAAGATGGAAGGTGAAGATTTGCATCCCAGTTTAGACCTCTAAGTGAAAAAGTTAGGAAATTCTTTTGTACGGATTCTATGCGGTCCTGATGTACTCCAGTATAGGACGGACCAAAGAAATGAATAGTGTTTTGGTTATATAGGGGTCATTAAATTCTTTTGACCACCTTTTAATAAAACCAAGGACTCCTTTTGTATACTGCTTACCACCATTTTAACTCCCTCCAAAAAGGCAGCCGATCCAATTTTTTTGATGCCACTTGATGCCTACAAAAAAAATTTAATTAATTTCATTTTAATAAAATTAAGTAATTATTGTACTTACCGCTCGCAAATAAACAATTTTCAAGTGTCCCGTGAAATTGGACACTGCTATGGAAAATATTTTCCAGTTTTTTATATTATTTGGGGCATTCTGTAAAAATATATTAATTAGTAAATATATTATATATATATATAACAGATGGATCTCATCAAATATAATAATAAATGGTTCTTCGACCAACAGGAATTGTAAATTACTCTCAAAAATGGAAAATCCATTTTCGAGAGTTTCTTTTCTCTTGTTTAACCATTCCAGAAATGATTCTGGAATTTTTAAATCACTTATAATTTTTAATTCATTCAAGTATTGCATGATGAAAGTCTCACTTTGCAATGTTTTGAAAAATGGTGGAGATTAGGGATGGGAATTTGGGACGCGCCATTTTTGGAGCGTTGCCAATTAACCATAAGAAAGATAGAAGCAAGAAAGAATAAGAAAAATTTTATTTGGTGGCTGCAAACAACGAAGTTCGGAAACTTTAAAAATTATTAAATTAAATTATACAATACTAATGTTAAACTATACTACATTATTCTATCTCCTCCGATCTCCTCAAATCATTGTGCATTATTTGGCTGAGGACAGTTGTCAAAGTTGCCATAAAGACAACTGCCTCATTTCGATAGGCAAGGGCTGCATGTTTCTCAAATCCTTCCACGGCACCGACGTGCACTTTCTCGGCCAGCCTGGCACCCACTCTCTCCAGGTGGTTCGAGTTGACCCATCTTATGGTGAAGGTCCTCGTCGGGAATTTGTTGAATAAATTCCTAAAAAGGGCCTCCAAGCCAAGACGCTAGAAGTAATGAAAAAAATTATACAAATTACACATATAAATTAATTTTGAGAAACTTACCTCCTGATTGTATCGGTCATGTAAAGCTGGGGGTACATTCTCCTCAACCAGCCTTTTGAAATTCGACAGGATTTGGGCAAAATTGCTCCTGGAGAATGTCGGGACAGCATACAGATGGGTGGCGAACTCGTCGATGTGGTCCAGCCGAGACATGATACCACAAAAGTGCTCCAAGTCGTAAAGGACAGGCACCCCATTCTGCCATTGTGCATTTTTTGAACGAAGACAGTTGCTAATGTGGCCATGAAAGCAACTGCCTCCTAACGATCGGCAAGGACTGCTGGAAATTTAGCAAAGCCCTCCGCTGCCCCAAAATGAACGTCATAAGCCAGCTTGGCACCCACTTCTTCCATGTGGTTCGAGTTTAACCACCTTAGGTTGAAGGTCCTATTTGGGAAGTTATTAAATAAATTCCCAAATAAGGACTCAAGGGTAAGACGCTAAAATTAAAGAAAATAATAAATAAAATGTTTGCTTTATTAATTGTGCGAAACTTACCTCCTCTTTGTAACGGTCGTGTAATGGGGAGGGCACTTTCTCCGCCACCAACCGTTCAAAATCCGAGAGGATTCTCAAATAATTCTGTTTTGTGAACTTGGATTAGTATATAAACGGTTTGCGAAAAGATCCAAAGTTCCCAAATGCATTATAGTCGATCGAAAGGGCTGCAAATCATACAGAACCGGAACTCCACGGTTCTGCATGTATCTTATTGCCTCCAGATTGGCGGCGCATTTATCCGCCACCGCACCGACCAATGTGGAGGTAAGAAGGGTCCTTTTATTGATACTGGCCAATACCATCTGCACTCCTTCTAAAATGGCAGCCGATCCCATTACCTCGATGCCACTTGATGCCTACAAAAATTAAATTAATTTCATTTTTAAATAAAAATAGGTAATTATTGTACTTACCGTACGCAAATGAACAATTTGCATATGTCCTGAAAAATTGAACACTGCAACGGCAAATATCTTCCAATTTCTCATATTATCTGGAGCATTCTGTAAAATTTCATTATATATATAGTAAACATATTATATACATTAAAATTGTTGTACTCACAGTGACATTTCGTATATGGAATTCGTCGAATATAATGAAAAATGGTTCATTGACCATAATGTAATTGAAGTTGCTTTCCATTATGGCGTAACCATTCTCTAATGTATTTTTGCGTTTAAATAACCATTCCAGAAATTCTTCTGGAATGTTATTTTGCAGAACGCATTCCAACGATCGCACAGTAGGCCGGATTGCCAAATAAGTGGCATAAAATCGAAAATTGTATATATCGAGCAAAAACTTAGCATATTTTAAGAATACACCACTATAAATGTTTAAGCAATGTTTTTAGTAAGTTTGGCCACGCCTACCTTAACTGCCCATGGAAGACAACATAACGTATACGTGATCTGAAGTTAGATTTCGTTTTTTATACTTATATTTATTATTTTCTTACATATTATACTGATTTTTATTATTTATAATAAACATGGATTTCATTTTTGCTTAAATAGGAATAAAAGGATATACATTAAGATTTTATGCTTACATATGTATACTAAGTGTTAAAACATTGTGCTTTGGCAAAGACGCGTTCCTCCTTCCTCATAAGATAGCTTTGGTCCCTTTGTTAAATTTGGAATATCCGCTTGGTTATCCAAAACTATTTTTAAAGACTTTGATAGCCACTCTGAATGTTTTTTTTTTGAACGTTCGCATATTACGGCTACACTTTTGCAGATTTGATTTTATATAAATTTCAAAGCTTTTAATTTTTTTGTAAAGTTTGCCCTTCTGGTCGACTGTCAGTCTACCCTCATTAATCTGGCCACATATCCATTCAGCAAGCGCATTAGAGTCGCGAGCGCTGTCAATTCATACGTCTAGCAAGGTTGCATGACAGAACTCATGCACATCTTGAAAATGTCATCATCGAAAAAGCCGCAAAAAGCCGCAAATGAGATTTTTTTTATATTTTTCTAAATAGTTTCTTCTTTTGTTAAAGATACATTACACATTGCAGAAATACGCAGAAGACTTTTTTTTTCTCCACAGAAGACGAACATAAAGGTTAGGTTTTTTCTTTTTGGACAACACAAAACAATACACATATAATACACATAAAATAATTTTACACAAAATGCTTTCATTAAACTCAATTTTCTTACCTCGAGGTTTAAAATTCATTTTAAATAATGTTAAATTCTTTTTTCGTGTGTGATTGCCAAGCGCACAAAGTCAACAAAAGTTTCCCGCCAACTTAATCACAAAAATCAGCTGTTCAATCACTTGACTTTGAAGCTAAATAAAAATTGAAAGGTTGCATTTCAACCAAAAATACTTTCTAATACTTATTATACAGGGAATTTAATATTGATAAGTTTAAAAAAAATTAAGATTTATTTAAATAAAATTTTCGATTTTATTCCGCTTATTTGGCAATCCGGCCTACTGTGGATCGCACGCACTCCATCTTTACCACTGAAATTCTCACTCTGGAATGGCTTTGGAAAATGAATGGTGGTAGGTAAGGGACGAAAATTATGGGACGCCATATTTGAAGCGTTGCCAATCTAAAAAACAGGACCCTCTCTGCAATAAATTTTATTTAAAATTTAAAATAAAAATGTTTCGTAATGGCTCGGTAAGTACATATGTAATTATAAGTCAAAATATTCTTTAAAGCATAGATGGGGAGTGTTAATGTACAAAAAAAATGTTACAAAAAATGTTGAAGCAGGTAGCGTGCCGACGCAGCGGTCCCGTTTGACGACAACCATCTTGATGGTGGTTGTTGTTGTAATTTTTAGTTTGCGCCCATCTATGCTATAAAGTACATATTTATATACATACATATACATATACATACAGTCAGCAAACAAATTATTTGGACACTGAAAAAAAAATTTTTGTTTTTTAAGTATTTAAAATTTAAGGGAAATAAAGAAATTTTGTTATGTTAATTAATATGTTAATATAAAATTTATAATATGTTTTGAAAAATCAGTTTTTAATAGAAAAACATAAAAACACTGCCGAAAATTTCATTTTTTCCCAGAAATAAGCCTTTAGTATAAGTATATTTCAGTGTCCGAATAATTTCTGTGCTGACTGTATGTATGTATGCATATTTTTGATATGTCTATTTCTTTCTACGCAATATATTAAAACCCTTTTTTCCTTTGCACGCAGATCTATAAAATCATATGCAGAGCAAACGTGAAGAATGAAGATTCGGATCTTGAGGAGTTGCTATCGGTCACCGAAGCACCGAAGCCCAAAACTGTGGCCAAACCACCCAAGCGCAAAGTCGTGGCCCAACCAGCTAAGCCGCAGACTGAGGCCCAACCATCGACGTCGCAGTCTACGGCGGACGTGGATGCGCTGTTCATTGGGCGGCCATTGGTGGTGCAGCGGGTGGCTAAGAGGAAGCCTGTCGCGAAGAATATTAATATGAAAGTCAAAGGTAAGCCATTGCCAGCTCGTGAACAATTGAATATCGTGTCGAATGTGCTAACCAGGCAATTTAATATTAGTTTGCAAAAAGATGCCATTTCTACTTGGCATGCAGATGCCAATGGCGTGGTTTGGGCGTCAAAGGGGCCGCAATACCCTTATTGTTATAAGGTATTTAGCCAAACCACCCTCTTGAAAGGATTGCCTTTAAACTCCAAAATTACATCACTGCGGATTCTGTCCGTATTCCAAGGAATTGCCAAATTTCGGGATGCATTTAATGCATAAAAAATGCTTGGGGCTCGGGAGAGTTAAATATAAGCACTAACCATACAGCATATAGACAACCCATTTCATACAACGAAAATGGATGCAAAAATTTCTTGCGACAGGCCCCAGCAGGCCCCAGAGCGGATTTCTTACGCTCATCGTTCGTTCATCTTACGCTCATTCTCTCATTAAATTTTTTCTGTTTCTCAGTCTCTAAACGGAGCGCGATGAAGAAGGTTGGCCTGCGCTTCGGTTGATCTTTATATGTATGCGTGTCACACATTCACATACACGGGTGTTTGTGTGCGTACGATTTCGTTTCGAAGCCAGCGCACAAAATTTGGATTTTTCTTACTTTTCAGGCTTGCTACCCTAACAAAATTCGGGTATTCGTTATTTGATGAAATGACGAAAGAAATTTATTATTATTATACATTTATTATTTATTATACATTTTTTATTTATTTAGGAATTAGATTAAGTGTTAGTAGTAAAATGTTTTCTGCATATATATTTTTACGAATCATTAAAAATCAATATACTGAGAATGTGTCAGAGTATATTTCAGTCGGAGTCACTTAAAACGCCGATTGCTTTTAAGTTTTTGTTAACGGCAATAATTTTATTAAATTAAATTTAATGTGAGATTTAATTAAATTATTGTCGTTAATTTAATAATTTCCTTATATATTTTGGAGCTTTAAAAAAGTTAAATTGTTACAGATATATACATATATATATATATATATATATATATATATACATTGGTTTTATGCTTTTATATGGATTCTTATTGTATGATCTGCAGTGTAATTTAAAATATATACATAAATATACATAAATATAAAAATGTCACTACCGTATTTACACACCGTCATTTCCATCTCACAATAACCCAAATTAATAACAAGTGCCTGAAAAATTGTAAACAAAAAAGGTAAACAAGTCCATCAGCTGTTTTCGTGTCTTCACCCTCCCCTAAAAATCATTCCATCGTTAGAGTAGGCATGGACTCCGACTGAAATATACTCTGACACATTCTCAGTATATTGATTTTTAATGATTCGTAAAAATATATATTTGCAGAAAACATTTTACTACTAACACTTAATCTAATTCCTAAATAAATAAAAAATGTATAATAAATAATAAATGTATAATAATAATAAATTTCTTTCGTCATTTCATCAAATAACGAATACCCGAATTTTGTTAGGGTAGCAAGCCTGAAAAGTAAGAAAAATCCAAATTTTGTGCGCTGGCTTCGAAACGAAATCGTACGCACACAAACACCCGTGTATGTGAATGTGTGACACGCATACATACAAAGATCAACCGAAGCGCAGGCCAACCTTCTTCATCGCGCTCCGTTTAGAGACTGAGAAACAGAAAAAATTTAATGAGAGAATGAGCGTAAGATGAACGAACGATGAGCGTAAGAAATCCGCTCTGGGGCCTGCTGGGGCCTGTCGCAAGAAATTTTTGCGTCCATTTTCGTTGTATGAAATGGGTTGTCTATATGCTGTATGGTTAGTGATATAAGTCAGCTGGGGTTATATAGGAAATATGGAGGAATTGTGAAATATCCCATAAAGAAACAGGGGTAGCCCATAAAGAATCAGGGGTAGCCCATAAAGAAACAGGAGTAGCACCCACCTCTCCCCCCTTCACATCCTATGCCAACAACCGTCCATTATTCACCCAATAAACATTTGTCTAATATTAAATTAATTTAATTTTTTGTTTTGTAAATATTGTACTTTTCTTTTTTTTGTTTTCTATAGTGTTATTATAAATTTAGTTTTAATTTATATATAGATATATAGATTAATATAGATAGATTTAATAAAGATACATCATTTAATATAAATTCATACTTATACATAGTAATTACTATGAGTTTTTGTTTTTCCTCCTCCTCTTTCGCGAACACGAACACGGTGGAATGAGGGAGCTGTTTTATTCTGCATTTTATTTTTGTTCTCTGCATCTCACATTCATCTTTATCTTTGAGTCTTTATTTTATCTTGAGTCTTTCTTTGAGTTATCTTTATCCGCTTGGTGGTGAATGAAGTAAAAGTTACGCCAGTGGAGCCGGCTGGTGAACTTATGACCATCGTGTCAAATGTACCAACACGGCCATTGTCTTTAAATTTAAAAAAAGGTGCCATTGCGACGTGGCATTTAGATGCCAACAATGTTCTGTGGACGACGAAGGGTCACAATGCCCTTATTGTTATAGATTATTCAAATCAAACACCCTTCTAGATAAACACTTCAAAAATTGCCTTAAAACACCAAACACTGCGAATTTTGTCCGTATTCCAAGGAATTGCCCAATTTCGGGATGCATTTAATGAATAAAAAAAGGTAGGGGCTTGGGGCTTGGTTTAAATATAAGCCATCTGGGTTTATGAAGGAAATATGGATGCAGTGAGATAAATCCCATAAAGAAACAGGGGTAGCACCCACCCCTATGGCGAACCAGTGGACCTGAAAAAACTGTTTATTGGGCGGCCATTGGTGGTGCAGCGGGTGGCAAAGTCGGAGCCGGGGGCGGAGAACAAAGTCAACGGTGCGCCAGTGAAGGTGGTTGGTGAAGCTATGACGATCGTGTCTAATGTTCCAACCAGACCATTAACCTTAATTTAAAAAAAAGGTGCCATTGCCACGTGGCATTTAGATTCCAATAATGTATTATGGACGACAAAGGGGCCACAATGCCCCTATTGTTACAAAACGTTTAAGTCAAACACTCTTCCTGAAAAACATTTTAGGGACTGCCTCACAACACCCAAATTATACCACTATGTGTGGTGTCCTTATTCCAAGGAATTGCCCAATTTTAGTATGCACTTGTTGCATAAAAAATTTTTGGAAACCAGCGACGCCGCAGCTTTTGGCGAAATCAGCGTCGCCGCAGCCCGTGGCAAAACCAGTGCACCTGGAAGAACTGTTTATTGGGCGGCCATTGGTGGTGCAGCGGGTGGCAATGTCGGAGGCAATTGACCGATTCAAAGTCAAAATCATACCAAAAGTCGCTCGGATCGAATCCGATCCCTCTCGCACCGATCGAGCTGAGCCCAGGCCCAGCCAAACAAGGCGAACCAGACCAGCCAAAGGAAAACACAGAGGAAAACTCACCACATCACAGAAACGAAGCTCACACACATAGACAAAAAATGTAATTTTCACAACACTTGTCAAGTTTTGAACGTTTTCCAACTTCGCGCTTCCAACCCACTCAGTGAGACAGATTTTCTGCTCTCTTTTTACTCTCCTATTTCTGCATCGCAAAGTTGAAAAAAAAATGAAAAAATTGACAAGTGTTGTGAAAATTCGGTTAGTTTTTATAGTAACTTTTGAAATTTTGAAAGTACTCAAGATTTTTTTGAAAAAATCAAAGAGTTATTAAAAAGTCAATTTCATCAATTTGTTATCGATTTCAATTTTAAAATTGAAATACCTATTTGAAAACAATAAAAAGTCCATACACCACCACATAGATATAATTACCTGATATACATTCCTATTAAAATACAATTTAGAAAAAAACACCAATACACCGTATATAAGCATAATCAATCATAATAAATGTCAATTTTATTTGAAAAGAAAAACTCTTGGTTTAATTTATTTTTTTAATTTATTTCTACTTAAAAATACTCTTTTCCACACCACCTTTGAGGTAGAGTATAAGGCGCGTTTTTTTTTGTAGTGGTATCCCCGAGAGGCCTAATCCACTGTACAAAAACTAAATTAAACTAAGTTAAACTAATACTAAACTGTACTATATTATAATACACTAAGACTAATTGAGCTTCATCCTCTTTGATGGGCCTGCCTCCTCGTCATCCTTCCCTGTCTTCTCGTCTGGGATTAGTAAATCGGTGAGCGCCAAATCCATGTGCCTGGAAAAAAAAAATGATATATATTTTTTATGATATAAATACTTACATTTCCTTAAGTTCTTTCTGAATTCTCTGCACAAAGACCGTTGCCAATGTGGCCATGAAGGCAGTTAATTAATTTTTGGAAACTTACCTTTATATAACAGTCTTTATAACGGTCTTGTAATGGGGAGGGTACTCTCTTCTCCACCAACCGTTCAGAACCGGACAATTTTTTCTCATAATTATCCTTTGTGAAGATGGGGATGGGAGTGGTGTATATAGAGGTCACTATTACATCCATAATTCCCGATCTTGTCATTGTAGCTCGGAAGTGCTGAAAATCATACAGAACCGGTATTCCGTGGTTCTGCATGAATTTAATGGCTTCCATATTGGCGGCGCATTTATCAGCCACCGCACCGACCAATGTGGTGGTAAGCCGGGTGCTTTTTTGTATACTACTTACCACCATTTTAACTCCCTTCAAAATGGCAGCCGATCCAATTTTTTGAATGCCACTTGATGCGTAAAAAAAAATTTAATTAATTTCATTTTAATAATATTAAGTAAATGTTGTACTTACCGCTCGCAAATAAACAATTTTCAAGTGTCCCGCGAAATTGGACACTGCTATGGAAAATATTTTCCAGTTTTTTATATTATTTGGGGCATTCTGTAAAAATATATTAATTAGTAAATATATTATATATATATATAACAGATGGATCTCATCAAATATAATAATAAATGGTTCTTCGACCAACAGGAATTGTAAATTACTCTCAAAAATGGAAAATCCATTTTCGAGAGTTTCTTTTCTCTTGTTTAACCATTCCAGAAATGATTCTGGAATTTTTAAATCACTTATAATTTTTAATTCATTCAAGTATTGCATGATGAAAGTCTCACTTTGCAATGTTTTGAAAAATGGTGGAGATTAGGGATGGGAATTTGGGACGCGCCATTTTTGGACCGTTGCCAATTAACCATAACAAAGATAGAAGCAAGAAAGAATAAAGTAAAGTAAGAATAAATAAACAAAATGAATTATAATTGCACAGTAAGTACTTAAGTATTTAATACCTTGCTGAGGTATTATAGTTTTAATCAAAAGTGGCCAAGTTCTCCAGTTCCATATCAACACGCTAAATCAAACAACAATATACATTGAATTTAACTAATTGTGAAATTGCCACCTGGCATTTAGATGCCAATTATGTAATTTGGACCACAAAGGGGTCCCAATGCCCTTATTGTTTTGGGGTATTTAGATCGATTTAGATTTAGATTTCGATGTATCGAAACATTCAAAGTTGAAATCAAAAAGAAAACTTTAAAACATAACCTTTAAAACATAAACTTTATAACATAAAGTGAATTAAAATTTGAATCATGATTCAAATAATTAACTTTGGTGTAAGTATTATTTTATTAAATAATTTAACTGGTTATTTCTTTTTCCCAGACTGTCAATATTAATGACAAGGATGAGTCGACGCCAAAAACTCCAAACACTGGAGTCAAAAACACCAAGGAGGAGCCAGTGACCCAGGAGGAGCCAGTGGCCCAGGTGGACCCAGTGGAGTCAGTGGCCCAGCCTTTGACCTGGGAGTCATTGGTTGCGGAGGCTTTGGCTGGGGAGGAGGAGGACGCGGTGCCCCCGCCCCCGCGCCCGCCAGTGTCGCTGGAGCCCGCTCGTATCGCTGGAGCCCGCTCGGGAGTTGAATTTAAATTTATGCGGTGCCGCCGTGCCCACCTGGCACATTGATGGGCAAGGGGGCATTTGGACGACCACGGACCGGCAGTGTCTTTGGCTGGGGAGAAGGAGGAGGCAGTGTCGCCGGTGTCGATGCCCCCGCCGGTGTCGCTGGCGCCCGCTCGGGAGTTCAGCTTAAAACTCTGCGGTGCCGCCGTGCCCACCTATGTGGTGCCCCTATATAGTAAAGCGAAACCAAACTTTTCCATGCATATTAAATTTAAAAAATGCTCCGGCGTGGTGGGTATCCGGTACGTTCCCGGCCCCAAAATTAGGGAATTGTGGGCACTGTGGGAAGGGCTGCTTAATCCACCTGCTAATCCTCCTTCCCAGCTCCACTCCAGCTATCGAATTTTGGAATGCATTTAAAGCACCAAAAATGTTCTGGGGTGAAGGGGGTGCGTTATAAGCCAGCAGAGGTAATGAAGGAGGTATGCGGCCGAAAGATACAAGAGTAAGAGATAACTTTTCGCCGAGTCGACGTTTTTCATCTCCCGAATTTATGGATTTTTCGTAATAATGTGTTTTTAGATTTTGTTTTTATTTGTTCTTTTATTCACTTTTATGTTTCTGTAAAATTAATATTAAGTAACTTATTCTAACTTAAATTTTGAACTTAGATTATGCTTAGCCGAAGTCAGTTATCCGCAGGTGATCCAGCAAGCCGACTCACTGCGCTGAGCGGAGGACACCTGGCGAAGGGGTGTAAAAATAGGTTTTTGTTTATTGAATTTTTTATCCTATTTGTAAGGAACTTTTTATAAGTCGTGTTTGGTCTGTTGAGCGCGCCGGACGTGCGCCGCCCGCGCTGCCGGGTGCCGTGCCGGGCCGGGGCGAGCCCCGGGGCAAGGCGGTCTCGCGCCAGCGGCTAAGGAACCAATAAATGTTTAACTATTTATTAAAACTACAGAAAAAAAAAAAAAAAAGCCGAAAGATACAAGAGGAAGAGATGACTTTTCGCCGAGTCGGCGTTTTTCATCTCCCGAATTTATGGATTTTTCGTAATTTCAGTTTGGGGGTAACAGTTGAAAAACGTTAATAAATTGGACAGTGTTGTGAAAATTTGGTTGGTTTTTGTACATTTTGATGAAAAAAGTGATGAAAAAAGATGAGTTATTTTCATCAATTTCAGAGTTGATCAATTTTTGATCAATTTAAATTTTGAAATTGAAATACCTATTCAATTCAATTTTATTTGAAAAAAAAAACTCTTGGTTAAATTTATTTTTTAAATTTATTTCTAGTTAAAAATACTATTTTCCACACCACCTTTGAGGTAGAGTAAATGGCGCTTTTTTTTTAAGTGGTATCCCCGAGAGGCCTAATCGTAATGGCCTCGTAGTAATCGTAGTAATCAAATATTAAAAATTATTTAAAATAGCTCAAAAATAGCACATTTTTTTGTGAAATAGCCAACATAACAGGCTCCTGCAAAATTAAGTGGTTTCTAGTTTGAGGTCATGCAAAATAGCCAAATCTGGCTAGAAAATAGCCAAGTTGGCATGGAACTTCTATGGGAAAAGAATTCAAATTTATGTTAATTTATTTATGTTCAGAACATATTGTTCAAATTTAAAATAAAACAATGTCTTTAATTGTCTTTAATATGAACGATATATTATTAACGATATTTACATAACAAATTACATAACATAACAACATAACAAAACAACAACATATTACATAACAAATTTACATACAAATTATAAACATAAATTCAATTTCAATTTCATAATTTTTCATAATTTCATAGTGTGGCACTTGCGTTAACCGATGGAATCAGATGGATACATAAATCCAACATGTGTTCCAAAAATAAGCATTAAATAATGCCTGTGGCGGGGGACAAACAACATTATGACCATCGTGTCTTAATGTACCATTATCGCCCTTATCATTAATTTGAAAAATAAGGTGCCATTGCCACCTGGCATTTAGGTGCCAATAATGCATTATGGACGACAAGGCCCAATGCCCCTATTGTTTCAATCGAAAATCCTTCTTGAAAAACATTTCAAAAATTGCCACAAAACACCCAAATTGAATTCTGCCCATATTCCAAGTTACTACCATGGAATGCACTTATTGCATCGAAAATGTTCGGAAATTAATAATAATTTTCTTGGGATAAGGGGGTATTGCTGATGATGCCAGAGGAGGTGGAGGAGCCAGTGGAGGCAAAGGTAATGCTGTCTATTTTTTTTTTTTTTCTTAAAGTTGCCCAATTTTTCCATACCTCCTCCATCACCCCCGCTGGCTCATAAGCCACCCCCTTCACCATTTTTCATGCTTCAAGTGCATTCCAAAGTTGGGTAATTCCTTGGAATATGGGCAGAATTGGCAATGGTACAATTTGGGTGTTTCAAGGCAATTTATGAAATGCTTTTCAAGAAGCATTCTCGATCTAAAGTCCTTAAAACAATAGGGGCATTGGAACCCCTTTGTGACCCAAACTGCATTATTATTATCTAAATGCCAGGTGGAAATGGCACAATTTGTCAAATTTAAGGCTAAAGGTTGGGTTGGTACATTAGACACGATGGTCATAATGTTACCAACTCCAACTCGCTTACATTCAATCTCCGCCACAGGCTCCGACGTCCATGTTGTTGGTTGTGCTGGTGGTTGTGGTGCTGTTGGTTGTGTTGGTGGTGGGGTGTAATATACTGTTGCTGGTGGTTGTGCTGCTGGTGGTTGTGGTGCTGGTGGTTGTGGTGCTGGTCGTTTTGGTGCTGGTGGTTGTGGTGCTGTTGGTGGTGGGGTGTAATATACTGTTGCTGGTGGTTGTGGTGCTGGTCGTTGTGGTGCTGGTGGTTGTGGTGCTGTTGGTTGTGTTGGTGGTCGGGTGTAAAATACTGGTGCTGGTGGTTGTGGTGCTGGTGGTTGTGGTTGTGGTGATGTTGGTGGTGGGGTGTAATATACTGTTGCTGGTGGTTGTGGTGCTGGTCGTTTTGGTGCTGGTGGTTGTGGTGCTGTTGGTGGTGGGGTGTAATATACTGTTGCTGGTGGTTGTGGTGCTGTTGGTGGTGGGGTGTAATATACTGTTGCTGGTGGTTGTGGTGCTGGTCGTTTTGGTGCTGGTGGTTGTGGTGCTTTTGGTGGTGGGGTGTAATATACTGTTGCTGGTGGTTGTGGTGCTGGTCGTTTTGGTGCTGGTGGTTGTGGTGCTGTTGGTGGTGGGGTGTAATATACTGTTGCTGGTGGTTGTGATGCTGGTGGTTGTGGTGCTGGTCGTTTTGGTGCTGGTGGTTGTGGTGCTGTTGGTGGTGGGGTGTAATATACTGTTGCTGGTGGTTGTGGTGGGGGATATGTGAGTGGTGGTTGTGTTGATGATGTTGTGGCTGGGTGGTTGTTGATGGTGGTGTTGTAAACCTACGAACCTGCGTAAACCATAAGAAAAAAAATATACATCTTTCGGCCACTTTTGATGAAAACTGTAATACCCCAGCAAGGGTATTAAATACTTCAGTACTTACCGTACAATTATAATTATAATTAATAAACATTTTGTTTCTTTTTAAATATTAACCAATTTGACGCCTGTTTGTTGACAACAACTCGCTATTTTGTTTAGAATAATTGGCCACACTTCAAAATATGGCGGCGTCCCTACCTCCCATCCCTATCACCACATGTTTTTTGCACCGTTAATTTCATCATGGAATATTGGAAGGAATTACAAATTATAACTGATTTAAAACTTCCAGAACCATTTCTAGAATTTTAAAAAAATCGAAAAGAAACTCTCGAAAATGGATTTTCCATTTTTTCCAGCAATTTGCGATTCCTATTGGTTGAAGAACCATTTTTTATAATTTTTGACGAATTCCATTTGAAACGTGTCAATGTAAGTATAAAAATTGTTATATATATATATAATATATTTACTAATTAATATATTATTAAAGAATGCCCCAAATGAATTGAAAAACTGGAAAATATTTTCGATAGCGGTGTCCAATTTGGAGGGACACTTGCAAATTGTTTATTTTCGAGCGGTAAGTACAATAAGTGCTTAATTTTATTAAAGTGAAATTAATTACACTTTTTGTAGACATCAAGTGGCATTGAAAAAATAGGATCGACTGCCATTTTGGAGGGCGTAAAGGAAGTGTTCAGCAAGATAAAAGGAAACACCCAGCTTACCAGTACATTGGTCGGTGCGGTGGCGGATAAATGCGCCGCCAATTTGGAAGCTATCAAATACCTGGAGGACGAGGGAATCCCGGTTCTGACCGATTTGCAGCACTTCCGAGCTACAACCATAAGATCGGATTATATGGATGTGATAGTGACGTCTATTTACAAAATTGGCGTCTTCAGAAAGGACAATTACGAGAGAAAGTTGTCCGGTATTGAACGGTCGGGGGAGAGGAGAGTACCCTCCTAACTGCAAGACCGTTACAAAGAAGAGG